TCAAGTTTTTTTGATCGTAAAGGAGAACAGGAAAATGTAGGGAATGTGTGACTTTTTTAAAATCAATGTGTTCAGCTAAGTAAAATCTCCAAGTCTAAAATAATTTTCAGTTGTCTAAGATTGGACCTGAATTATCCTGAAATTCAAGGATGTTTGGATACAGGGTTGTAGTTGTGGCCCATCTTTACAGCTATGTCAAGAAAGCAAAAAAAGGAAGGGAGAGCGATTACTGGCTGATTTGTCACAGTATCATTGAGAAGGATTTTGTAACCCTTGCCCACCACTGGTTCAGTGCTATATAAATGCTAATTAATAGTCCCACCACGCACAATGAGGAGTTCATCGGGAATGGTAGAAGGTAGGAGGGTTGGAGGCAGAGCAGCATCAATTCTTGCCTATAGTGAGTCTTGCTACCAGCTCATTGCCTTTTAAGACGGAGTCAGATAATTTCCTTATAGTGCAGAAACTCTCTTGCCTCAAACATTTCACATAGTAAAAGCTTGTAGAGTGTTTGAGAGATTGTTTCCTTGTATGTTCTAAAGAGCCATGAAAGACCTGCACTTTGCTTAATCATGTCTTCAGCATCACCTTGCTTTAAGGTGATCTCCTATAAGGCAGAGAACGGTATCCAGACCAGTTTTCAGGTTATATTGCCCAGGCGCTACAACAACACATTGTTCCAAGAGCCACTTGAACATGTGGGAAGTAGATTTGCAGTTGTATGATTTTTTGGTAAGTAATTTTCTTGCTCCAGGTCATGCAGTCTACATTTGCCTACCTTTAACAACAGTGGCAATTGATTTTGTGCTCTTAGAGCTGCTTTTTCCAGGAAGAAAGGATGACAGGAAAGTTAAAGGCAACATCCTGTGATTAGTACTACAAATGCCTGGTTTTTGTGTGTATCAAATATCCTCAGTTCATAAGACACTATAAGGGAAAGGCTGGGACCTGCAGGATCACAAGGCTGTTGCAACGCCTGAAGAACGTTGACAACACAGTCATGTTTCCATCCAATGGACGCATAGGGCTGCCCAAGTCCTTTCAACGCCTGAACTGTTAATATTTTGAAAGAGGCACACTGTATGGTATATACTTATTATGACATTACTGCCACATAATTCACTGATATGTTCACTGAACCATTTGCTAGGCTAATGCAAACCTGGAGCCTATGCACTCCTTCCAGCTTGTGAATAAGTCATGATTCCTGCTTACAGAGCATCCATAGTGTAGCATCTGATTGTCCTGGAAGGCACAGTGTGATGGGTCTGTCAGCCATGAAATCACTGCATAGTTGACACAAAAGGACATGGCATTAGCTCAGTACATTATGTTTCAAAGATAGGCGGGAGTCTGTTAACTGCTCCCCTACTTATTAATATAATTGTTATTGTTAATTTTTTTTAAGTGTCAGTAATTTTCTTTGAGCTGTGCAAAATACAAATGCACTAGAAGATACGGAGGAGTTAATGTGGATTGTTTTTCTAATCTAACACCCTTCAATTCTAATGAAATGATGGAACAGAGAGAATGTTTTACATGAAGTTGTGCTGAAAAGCATGAGGGAAGAAGTGAGGATTCTTTTTCTTTTTCCAATTCTTTTTGGATTCTCCTTCAGACATGGTTATCTGGACAATGCAATGTCTCGGGGGCACCCCCTCTAGATTCTTGATGATGAACATAAAAAAAAAAAGAGAGAGAGACTATCCCAGAGAATCCATCACAGGTTTTACACTGAGCACTGTGTCTCTAGGAAATTCCAGCTAGTACAGGATGCTGCAGTGTGTCTCCTCAGCAACACAAGCTACCATAAGCACATCAAAGGAGTCCTCTGCTTTCTCTACTGACTTCTCATAGATCATCAAGTCAAGTTCAAGGTCTCAGTCCTTATTTTCAAGTACTCAGTTGCCCACACCCAGGATATCTAAAAGATCACCTAAAGCTCCGGGATGAGGACTGTGGTTTACAACTCTACTCCCTGGGCACAATGGAATTTTCTACCATAAAGGTAAAGCTCATCTGTGCTGGAGACAGAGCTTTCCAAGGGGCCAGTCTAGGACTGTGGAATTAACTCCCATGGAAATTAAGGACCATCATAGACCTCACCACCTTCCACTTCTTCCCCTCTTCTACTATAAACCCACAGCAGTGTGTACATTAAAAAACAAAAACCCTTCCGAAACAGAACATCACACTGCAAAGATCATTTTCCCTGTGAGCAGAGGATGAGAGGGAGAATGAACCACACATGACAGATATTAGTCATGTGTCACTACTGGGAGCCCTGGGCCCTTTTAAATCACTGGTGAGGGCCGCAGGGCTCCTAGGCGTGTGCGGGGTGGTACCAGCAGCAGCGAAGGCAGCCAAGCAGGCATGGGGAGACCCTGGCCATGCCGGAAGAGCGCTCTGGGCAGCACAGCTGTCCTGGGGCCCGGAATTGCTCTCAGAGGGTCTGTTTGGGAATATAGGGTCTTGTCCTGCAAACTCTTCCATGTGTGGAGCTTGGCTTCAATAAAACTATTCTCAGTAGTGTTTGTTGTAACAGGTCCTTGGTGAGTACTTTGCAGAGATACCCATACAATGTGGTTTGCACCAGGAAGTTCACAGATAAACTTGTTACTGAGAAATGTAAGTACTCTGATTTAAGGAGAATGCTAATAATCAATATTCACCAGTCAGGCAAATTACTACCAAGTAATAGCCACAAATGTTACTATTCTCTGGATTACCATTGTATGCATGGGTCTGTGTTTTCCTTTACGTGCTGCTGACACTCTTGATTCTGAGCTCCAAGGAGTGGCCCCCTTTTCTAGAGTGGGCTGAATTCAAAGTTTTGCCTTCCTTTGGGGTAGCTGTCAGTGGCACTGCATAAAAGCAGAAGCAGCAGGGAATAGAAATGCTAGTACCTCACCACAGATAGCATCAAAACGAGTGATACCTTTAGTGTCCAGACTAGCAGATGAATGAGAGGTGTGGATACTGTGTTTACTGTGCCCTATTTTTGCATTTCCAATTTATTCTTTGACATTGATTTCTTTATGCTGCAGCAACACATGAGAATGAGGGAATCCTACCTATAGAATCAGTCTTGGGAGTAGGCAAACTGGTTAATTTTTAAATTTTTCACACAGCGCACAGTCTGTGGAACTCCTTGCCAGAGGATGTTGTGAAGGCCAAGACTATAACAGGGTTAAAAAAAGAACTAGATAAGTTCATGGAGAATAGTTCCATAAATGACTATTAGTCAGGATGGGTAGGGATGGTGTCCCTAGCCTCTGTTTGCCAGAAGATGGGAATGGGTGACAGGGCCTGGATCACTTGATGATTACCTGTTCTGTTCATTCCCTCTTGGGCACCTGGCATTGACCACTGGTGGAAGACAGGATATTGGGCGAGATGGACCTTTAGTCTGACCCAGTATGGCCGTTCTTAGTTTCCTAGAGTGCCAAAACCAGATGGCATCTATTGGAGTTATAGGTGAATCTGTATCCACAATTGCAGTGGCTTTTCTAAAATATTTGCTTGGTTTTGCCCATTTCATACATGTTGGAAAGGATGTTTCTTACTCCAGTGGACATTTTTGTTTCTTGTTCTTAGTGCTGTTTGGAATTTAATCTTAAATTGTTTGAATTTTCTTTATCTATTAAAAGTAATCAGTGCATCATGGAAAAATATGGACTAAACTGCATCCATAGCCCATATGCTATTTTGTATAAATGTTCTACACCTTTGATTTTGTTTTCCTTTGATCTATTAGCAGCATAATCTAAACAATCACACACTGAAGAAGGCAGCCCTCTGATGTGGACAGACAAATGAAGGGGTGTCCTAGCAACAAGAACCATATGATGGCTCTCAGAGCAACTCCTCTGCGTGGGTCAGGTTTCCTTCCACATTCATGGCTCTCATGAAAGACAGGGAATCAAGATGCCTGTGCCCAGTTGGTTTACTAACTGACCGACTGATTTTGATGTAAAGTAAGAACACCCTGGAGAGACCATCTGTTTCATTCAAGTATCACATCCTGGTGTTCAGCACATTTGCCAGATAATAAAATGAACCAATACAGTAATTAACCCATATAGAAAAATGCTGCCTCATCGAGGCCCTGCCTACCAGCAAAATCAAAGGGCTCTTATTTATTTTGCTGATCAGTTCATTAATACTAATTCTCATTGTGACTACTGAAGTTCAGATATTGTTTTTGGTTACAAATCCACTCAATAACCCTGAAATCCTTAGCAGAACATTTTAAAAAAAAAAAAAAAAAAAGGGGGGGGGGGCAGATCAGGAGTGTCCCACAAAATCAGTTAAAACTGAAGTAAAGAACTCTGCCTTTCCAAAAACAACAACCCTCTCATAAGCCTTAGCTGCATACTCTCTTACTTAAAGAAAGTAATATTACATTTCATTATCAGCTATATGTCATGCTTGCTCATATGAATTTCTCTGCTATGGGACTTGCTGTTCATCCATACTGGTAAAAGAAGGCATAATGCCAGTGTTTTCTTTGTGGGTAATACAAATCCTTCTTATAATACAGAACCCTCAGGTATCCAGCACTATTATGCATAGAAAGTGGAGATTCTTCATACGTAATCAGTCAAGGCAGGTACAAGATTGACATGTTTGTAGATTGGGCACATGCCCCTGCGTATATGATCTTGCAATTGGAGCAGGAGACAGTCAGGACAACTGGGTTCTATTTCTGGTCCCTATCTGAGTGGATATTGTATTTGTATTTCACAAGGGTGCTGAGGCATAATTTATTAATCTTTGCAAAGGTGAAAAGTGCTATATAAGTATTTTATTGCAGGAGCACAGGGGAAGGGTTGTATTTGATAATATAGGGCCCAGTTCTGAAGTTCTTACTCAGGAACAATTGCCGTTGACATTGGTGGGAGTTCTGACTAAGTGAAGAGACTTCATATTCTAGTGTTGGGCCATTGACTGGGTCTAAAATGTGCCTTTTTTTTTTCTCCCTGTCTGTTTATATATAGGAGCTAATGCGTCTGCTCCAGACCAACTGAGCCTAGCTTTGGCCTGGAACAGAGTAGACATCGCTCGCAGTCAGATCTTTATTTATGGGCAACAGTGGCCGGTACAGTATATACCATCGTCTGCAGAAAACGCTTAAAATCTGATATGAAAGGGAATGCATTTTTTTAAAAAAAAAACAGACTAATATGGGGTTTACAACATACTGAGACATGTTCAAGTCCATCTCAAGTTTCCCTGGTCAGAGCTACTGAAGGCAGGATAGATCACAAAAGTGCCCTGCTCTTCTTAAAGGAAATGATGCCATTTAGTGATGCATCTAGATCATCGCATCCACTGGCCACACCTTCCATGAGATAAACAACAAAAACTAAGCTATATTAAAATTTGTTCTACAAACTACCAGTGAATGTCTGCTGCATACCTTTTGTATGCAAAAAAAAAAAAAACATTAAAATATAGTTATGGGGAAAGTGAGATTTTTTTTTTAAACTTTTCTAAACATCCACATGACATTGTATGCTAATACTTATGATAATCTGTCATGTTGTAGTACATGATGTAGTAAATTTAAGTTAGATACCTATCAGGTGTCATCAGACACAAACTATCACAATGTGAGACCCCCAGAGCAATTGTATCAAAGAAAATTGCCTATGTTTAAATACATTTGTTGAATTTTTATTTTAAATGTATTCTCCAGTTCTTGCTACTCACAAAGTTGGGATTTGCAAAGGAGCCTTATTAGTCAGTTTTTCAGTTAACCAGAATATTTCTCTTGCGTTCTCTATTGGAAATGAGCATGCAAAACACATGCAGCAGAGATTTAAGAGGGAAACCTGGATTAGGTGATTCCAAACAGCTACTGATGTCTCTCTCCATCACAAAATCACAGTGGCAATCTGTGTAAAATCTATTGTGTAAATTCAGTTCACAAGCTAAAAGCTGTAGGTACAAAGTACCTCCACAGAACAGAAGAAAGCCTGGACTGTGTGTAAAATGGATGTGATCTATCTGTTGCATTTGGCCCTTGTTGGAAATGCTGTTTAAATATTTCTGCTTCCCTGGTTTCAAACTCTTTTTGGCTGCATGTGCGACAATATTCACTTAGTAGGAGGTAGGACTGAATGAGTACAAAGTGCAAAATCAAAAGAAACAAAATGTTTGTCAAGAGAGTGAAACTAATAATGAAAAGCTGACGAGGGTAGTGACTTGGTCACTGGCTACCTGAGAACTGAACCTTTCAGCTTATAGGTCTTGATCCAAATTTATCAGACTGTATTGATCTTAGCATACTGATCTTTTCATTTTTGTACTGATACTTTGAAACAGGGAAACCAAAATAGTTTTGAAAATGTGATGATCCCCTTCTAAGCTTAGCAAGCTAAGGGAATTCTGTCAAAACACCAAACCCTCCCCATGCTAGAGTGACAGTAGCATCTAAAGGCTGTCCTTTAAACCCAGGAACAAGCTGAATGAATCCTTTCCTTTGTAGGTGGGATCCCTTGAGCAGGCAATGCTGGATGCCCTGGTGTTGGACAGAGTGGATTTTGTGAAATTGCTCATTGAGAATGGAGTAAGCATGCATCGGTTTCTCACCCTCTCCCGACTAGAGGAACTGTACAATACGGTAGGGCCAAGCTAAGGCAAATTTTCTATCTGTTTGTTCTTGTGTTTCACCATCTGCCTATCCTAGAATGACCCAGTGGTGCACAGCACAGTCTACGCCTTCTCCACAAATGAGTTGTCATTTCCTTACATCACAAGCCAACATTGTTTTCTTGGGTTTGACTCTTATCGTGAGAATTCACTATTGCTTCCTGCTTACTCTGTCTAAACACACATTATGAAGTGTGGTTAAATAAAGGTCACTGAAGTTGCAGACGGCACTAGGTGGTTGCTGGGAGTTGTAGTTCAGTATGATAGACCTTGGGCTTAGACAGGCCATTGGCAGGGGAGTCATGGGCAAAGTAGGACCTGAAGGATAGTGCCACATGACTCCAGCACATGCCAGATTCCTGGAGAAGATAGAATGTTTAAAAAAACCAATGTTTGAGTTTTCCAGTGTTGCCAGCTCTTGTAATTTTTAGCAAGGTTAGCAATATTTGGTGTTTTTCTTAATCTGTTCAGCAGTTGCAGCTTTATTATCTGAGAATGAGAGCTTTTATTAGAAAAACAAAGTTTCCAGCCCTTATGGTTGCAGAGAAAAGCTTTGAAATATGTACTCTTAAATATTCCAACACCAGAAAGCTTATAAAAAGAACCCTACGTATATTGTTTTGTAAATCTTCTGATTTTTAAGAAAAATCTCATGGGGTAGGGGCTGGCTCATGGTTTTTGAAAGCTTGGAGTTGGTAATATCATCATGCAAAATTTCACCATTTTTGCAATCCCAAAATTAAGAGTTTTTACTTAGAAATTTTGGAAATAAAATTTGTAATTCTCCAAAAAGCAAAAGTCCTTAAAGCAAATGTGTGAGTATTGCACTGCTCTAGTTGCTTACAGCACTTCCTACACCAACGCTCACCTCTGTCACCCTCATCATAACAGCATGCCAAAAAAAAATATATTTGGGTGCTGTTGGGGAAACCTCCCAATTCACATCAGTGCCTGGTTCTGATGATTTCTGTTTCAGCCCAACTGAAAGGAGCTGTGATATGATACATGGATACAAGGCTTTGTTCTGCCTGTACATTTTAAATCCATGCCCTCATTGGGTATGTCACAGGGTTCAGCCATCACCGCCAGACTGGCACCTGTTCCTGGTCGTGTTGGGGATTAGCTCGAGGCTGACACCCATGTCTGTGGTCTCCACACTGGCACTCTGTTTCTGCTCCCACCTACAGCTCCTCTCTCAGCTCCTAGAACCACAGCATCCTCTTTGCAACTCAGCCCTATGGCTAGGTCATCATCTGTGTTTCCCTCTTCCGGGGGGGCATATCTCCGTCCAACTGTCCAGCCTCTTCTACAGTAGCAAGTTGGGGGGGACACGGTCCCACCCACTACTCCAGACCCAAACCCAGGGACTCTGTAAATAACAGCCTCCTGCTTCTCCCCTGTAACCTCCATCAATGCTACTCTATTTCCCTGGGCCACTTCCCCATGGCCACACACCTTCTTTGCCCTCACATCCGGGCACTCTGCAGCTCAGTCCTAGCAGCAAGCCAGGAGCTCCCTCTCACTCCCCCGTCGCTAGCAGCTGTTCTGTCCAAGGTACTTAGAGTTCTCTCAGCCCTTCAGGGACACTGGCTTTATTCCATGGGCTCCCAGCAGCCACTGACCCTACTCTGTCTTGCTGGTCTCTTTTATTTGAGCCAGTTGGGCCTGGATTGGTTGCTCCCTGCAACTCCTCCCTGATTGGCTGTGCTTCATGCAGCCTCTCTGGGCTGCTCAGAGGACTCACCTCCATTGCTCCTTCTGGGGCAGGGCATGATTAACCCCTTGTATGCCTGTGTGGATTAGGTACCCCATCACAGGCTGTCACATTATGGGCCTCAGGGGCATAAATTACAAAATTTACTTGTGGCCAGAAGTTAAAGTGTCTCCAAATATCAAACCCTAAAAGATTTGACTCAGCTCATACACGTAATAGAAAAACTAGTATCTATGCTGCCCTTAAGCCAAAGGTACAGACCTGCTCTTTGACTGGCTTGTTCTTTGACTGTCTAACCTGGGACATGTCTATTAATTGAGAAGAGAGAGCCTGAGAATTTTCTGAAGGATGTTGGACAAAGCTATGCTGTTGTAGTTTATTTGAAAAGAATGGATAAATTTGTGTGACTGAAGTGCTACTGATTATTCGAGGAGTGCATATGTATGTTTGGTTGGCTGGTTAACCAGGAAAACTACATGAATGGAGCACATTCCAGATTTTACATTTGATCTCCTACGTGGCTTCCGTATAAGGAAAAAATATTTGCTTCTTTATCTGTCATTTACAGAGACATGGACCATCCAACACTTTGTATCATCTAGTGAGGGATGTCAAAAAGGTAAGAGTCCAATAGACGGTAGGTTGGAGGTAATGTCATGATTGCTTCTCGTAATTAGAAACAGTCTCTGTTTTGCATGAGCTTTCAGAGCATTCTCTTGTTCCTTCCCCTCTCCCCATCTGTCCACCATGCCATTTCAGACTGCATTGTTTGTTTGTATTGAATCTGAAACTCTTGCACACAATGCACAATTAACAAGTTACTGGGCTTGCTGTCTCAGTGGTTTTAGATGCTTTGGATACAGCGCTTTTGCTAGTGGAATTATAGGCTTTTTCATGCCATGTGGATTTATGCTGTTATCTATATTTTTCCAGACCCATGACTATTTTGGAAGCTAATGTCCATGTTGTCAGTCAATCCCTGAGACTGTAATAGATCTATATATATTTTTTCTGCTCAATCCTAGTCCACTGCAACATTTCCAGTTTCATCTTCTATGATATACTATAAAAGCTGTAAAGTCCTCCATCACAAACAGCATAGAAAAAGGAATAGTGCAATAAAGCAAGAAGACAGCTTGTCTCTCCCCCATTATCAGAATTTCAAGTGAGTTTCAGGCATCTTGAAATATAAAGGTCCCAATGGGGTGAAACCAATCCACTTTCTTTAGCAGTATCTTTGGGGGGGAAATTGTTATGCACCAGAAATAAATGAAAAACCAGTATCTTCTATGCAGATGATTCAAGCAGGGCATTGTGACCCTGTGCTGACCCCATCACCTTTAATTTTCTTTCAAAGGGTGTGTGAACTGCAGACATTCTCAGTGTACACTGGTGTCTACATTTCTTGTGCCTCCAGAAGGTATATGCTTTCAAGGGGACTTTCTGTGTACAGATTAACTAGTTAAATAATAGAGGGAAGAAGGAGGGAGAATTTTTGTCAGAGCACAAATCAAATTTGTGGTGTTCCTTTCATCAGTGAAATATAAACGGGGTTAATAGGGTTCTGGTACAACAGACATTTAGGGACTTCTAAACATCACAGTGTAACGGCTGATGTTTGATGCAATGCTACTATATTAAATAATGTTATTTAATAATTATATTAAAAATATTTTGGGTGGGCAGGCCACAGCCCCATTGGTTCTACCACACCCAGATAAAAGCAGCTAATGGGTCTGTATGCAATTGTATTAAAGGATCAAAGCAGTGAAACCCCATCCCACCCCAGAATCTGATCTTACTTACCCCATTTTAGCCCCATTCATTTCAGTGGTGTTACATAGGAATTACAGTGGTGTAATGGAAAGCAATCAGAGACCTTCCAACCCTTCCCCCCCCCTTTATTTAAATTATTCATGATGCCCCTTCTCCACCTCTTTCCTCCCACCCCTTGGTCTTTGGCTATAAATGTAATGGTAAAAGGGTCATTTGTATATGAGGCAGAAGAAGGGCTAGTTGCAGTGTCCTGCATTGCTTTCTGAAGGAGCTGAATAAAAGTGGACCTTAGGGGCTATTGCTTGTCATGGAGGTACGATGCTTCGTTTCTGGAGGGAACCTCTTTTCAGTCACCCAATGGAGCTGTGATAGCAATAGCAGCAGCCTGGGAAAAAATCTCACAGGTCATCTCTTCTGCTTCATACAGGTGTAACAATGTCTGGCACTGAGTGGGAAGGCAGAATTAGGATTGAAATAACAGACAGGCATGGACAGTACATAATAAACAAGTTGGCAAGAGTCTATTACTGGGGTTTCCCAACACAGAAACAAAAGAAAGCAAAAGCTTGAAAATTGATTAGAAATATTTGAAGAGGTTTGGGTCATTTTAGTTTTGTTGAGAAGGGGTCTACAGTATCATCTGTAGAATAGACAGCATTAACTAATATACAAGTGTCAATGAGAAAATATGAAATGCCTGCAACATAATTGGAATTGTTCGCATGCATAAATCCCTTGGGTGGAGCACAGTACTCAGATAAAGCCTGAGTGCAACTAGGCTGCCTGCTTCTCTGTACTTTCTCTGTGGGGCACAAGCTAGTGGTACATTTTTGTTAGTAAATATGTGATCATTTTTGTGTCTTTAAATGTTTGGCATGATTATCATCTGTCTTTTAGATTAAACAGATTCCATTTCAAATTCCCGGGTCTCCTCTTTCTAACATCCTTCTTCAGAAGGAAAGCATTTCAAGTGTCAAAAGGTTGTGTTATAATAAGGGTAATTAGAACATTGTTTACCATGGTTTCCCAGGGCCTCTAGTCCGAGAGGTGTTTTTAAAAGAATCTTATAGTGAAAAATTAAGTGTTTCATAAGCACTTTATATAAACGGAAGACTTTTTCATAAAGCAGTAAGAAACTAAAAGATTTTTAATATATTTTAACAATATGTATCCCTGGTGATTAAAAAATGTGCAAGGTATTGGAATTTTTCCTAAAATGTATCCTATTGAGGTTTATGTTGTTTTGTTTTTCCTCGTGTAGAATCTTTCTTTCTTTCTTTCTTTCTTTAACACCTGTCTTTACGTTGAGAAAATGTATGCTCTAACTGGAATACAGCTAATGGCTTAGAATACAAACAGTCCATGAGCAACCATCTGCTAGTGCTCATCAGAAATATGCCCCATTATGGCCTATTCTTTTCATTTTGTCAATGATGAAAAATACCTATGCCATGCTGACTGATATCTGACATTGTACCACAGTCCTGCACCTGAGCAATCAAATCCCTTACTAGTCAATCGATCAGTCAGGAGATTTGACACGAATTTCGGTGCAAACACATTCTTGAAAAAAGCCTCTCAGTGGAACATAGCATTATTTGATAGCGAAATGGTTCACTATGCATGACAGAGGCAGATTGGTGTGTTGAAGCTAGTCTTTTAGTTGAGATAAATTTTGAAGCCAGATAGTTAAACTTTCCATCGTAATGGCAGTCTCTAAAAATATAAACGCCAAAGAGATTTAAAATCAGTCACCTCATCCTGGTACTTCCAGGACTAGCACAAAATATATGCATTTTATTTCATAGATAGAATAATTTGTAAATGTTCTACTGTAAAATGTGAATTGTTTACATCTTCTGTATCTTGGCAAATTACAGAATAAAAATAACTGCTTGAAAAAGGAAACATGAAAACAATGCTGAAATTGCCATAGTATATTAAAATGTATCGCCCTAAATCTCTAAGGTTTTTCCTTTGATTTAAGAGATATTCATGGTTTACAGGAGTTCTCATAGTACTATTGGGATTCCCTTTAGAACAAACTATTATGCACTGGGAGGTTACATTGCCACAGTCTTATTTATGGAAGCTTGTATTTGTTTTGTGCATTCTGATTCACATTCTCCTGAGAGTTTCCAAATATTGTTGTGGAGATTGTTACCTCAATATAGCTGTTTACAGTGTAGCCCTAAGAAAAAAAGCTAAACGAATTACAGCCACACTCAGGGTTTGAATTCTAAATGTATCAATTAACAAAGAGAATACTCTCTCCTTTCTAATTACTGTGGGTTATGGAGAACTGTGTCCCACTCCCACTTTTGATCCCCTTAGTTCAGCCACTACGAGTAAAACTAATTCTGTTTGCCTTATTCACATACACAGCCTCACTGATGTCAAAGAGACCTCTGTAAAGGCGAACAGAATTTGTCCCACAGTGGTTACTTTCATCACACTGTTCAGATGATACTCTTAAAATAAACAGCCGGAAAAAATGGAGTTGAATGTGTCTTGACATTATTTTTGTGGGCAGAGATTGCCCTCTACTGGTCACTTTTTAAAAAAAATAAATAAGATTCTGCCCTACCTTTGGACCCTATTCGTGCAAAGTCCTGCAGATCAGCAGGTCCGTATTTTTCATTTGTTTATTCTTAATTAATAGATGTTCATCCTGCTCATTAGTTATATATACATTCAAATTTCACTGCTCTTAGTTCTAGAGACAGTTTCTGGATTCCTGTATTACAGGGAACTGTGAAGCATAGTTTTTTCACCAGTCAGTATTTGTGAAATACTATTGAACTCTTAGTATAGAAAATGAGAAATGGTCATTATTTGTTACAAATAAAAACAGTTCTGAAATAGTGAAAGGAATGCCACTGATACGTTAGAATTTGAGAGGGGAAGAATAGTGCATTCGTGTCATAAAACTTACTTCAGGATCATTGCAGACTATTAGTACCATTGGCTCAAACTGTCCTCTCTCATACCTGTGCTGTGTAGGTAGGTTCCATGCTGTCTGAGGATCAAGGGTTTTGGGCAGCTTGCATCATTCTGCTGCCACTACAGCCAGACTTGGGGTATGAACTGAGCCTTATTATTAATCAGTTTATTTGCTGCAGCTTCTGCTACAATAGTCACGAGCACTGACTTAAGCATAATGTGTAGTTGACAATGTAAATAGTTATAATACATCCTAGAATATTTACAATAGCTTAATGAAACCTAATATTGCCCATTACAGTTAAAAACAGGGAGCTGTTTCATATCTACTACAGAATGGACATATTTGCTATGTGGGCCTGATCCTACAAACACTCTGGCACATGGGTAACTTTTCTTTCCCATTGACTTCAATGAGACTATTCACTACATAAAATTATTCCCATGCTTTACAGGATTGAGCCCTGTGTATGTATTATAGAATGTGTGCTTTTGCTATTGTTTTACAAGGTTTCTTCAGCAAAGTGTCCATTGATAATTAAATTGACTGAAATTTTCAAAACTGTCTAAGGGGATTTAGGCACATCTTCCATTAAAGTACAGGTAAATGTATTGGAAGATGTCTAAATCCTGTAGGTTGCTTTGAAAATCTGTATTATATGATAAAGTATTTAGTTCAACATTGTAATATAAATATTTATATATTATATAAATATATGCTATTGGATATTATATATTGTGTTTATTTAAATTGCATCGAGATAACTAATATTTACCACTTAACATGTTTCTATGGAAGAACATTCATTTATTGAGGTGTCCAAAACTGCTCCCATTGAAGTCAATGGGAGATGGGTAAAGAGATGCAATTCTCATTAACTTCAATAATAGTTGCTCCCATTTCTGCAAGGGAATGAATTTGAACCTTTCCCTTTAGAACGGTCATAAAGCGGCTCTACATAAGTCTCCTATATGGCACTTTGTCATTGGTTCCTGCTCACATGTGATCACAAAGAGAAGGCTAGAGCCTGCAGTCCTTACTCAGGTAAAACTCACATTGGCTTAAACATTCTGGACCGAGAGAACCATTTTTAAAAAGCCAATAATTTTAATTTTTCTTCTTTTAATGAGACAATGTTCATTTTCATTAGAATGCTCAGAACACAAACATGTTACCGGTTATGATCACATGGATAGATCATGCCTTTCATAAGGAGCAGTGCAGAGCCACTGTGTAGTTTCTGTTATCAGTGCTGACCCCTTAAGACTTCCTTCTGGTGTAAACACACCGTTTCCCAGACCTCCAGCCATGCTGGACATTCTGGTCACAATTTAACTTTCAGAGCAAATGGTAGGTGTAGCACAGAACACAGACAGACATTGCACCAAATTCTAACACATTATTGATCTTTCTTTAACAGCATGAGAAATACACAGATCTATACAAAAATAATAAACCCTACATGCATTTCCCTACCTCAGTTTTCTCATCACCTCAGAGCATTCTTTGGCCTGAGGTCAGGGCTGTCTGGAGCCATCCAGGTTCTTTCATAATCACAGTGCATGGCTTAGATTATGAAACATGGAGCCTTCTCTCCGACACTTGCCTCCTCAGATCTTGGATGATCCATTTACTTCCCCTCTCCTGCCCAAACTTCCTGCAACTGTCTTTCTGAGGGTTTTTCCCCCCTGTGAACCGTTTTGCAACCTTCCAGTCCTTCTGTCAGGTGACTCCTGGATCAGCCTCCTTAGGTGACCCCAGACTCCTACCAGGTGACCTCGTTGCCAGGCAGCCTCTCCCCTGACAAAACAGTTCTTCTGTGTGGGAGCCTGCCTATTATCTACGATGTTTATATTTGAATGGAGGCTCATCTTAAGTTAATGACCCTCTATTGTCCGTCCTGTATCACTACACCTTGGAATTTCAGTCCAACATGGAGGCAGAGAGACCATGGAGAAGGCAACTAGTCCTCATTTTTAAAATAGAGTTGGTAGTTTGGCAAAGATACATAGAGTTCAGAATCTCACAAGAATTTATAAATTGTACACAAAGATTCTTAAAATCATCACAATCTGTCCCTCGGAGTGTTTTATAATGTATGCTTTATTAATCTAAATCAAGTAAACACATCTGCACAGAAGTCAGACAGATGTACAGAACCTCTACAGACCTGTCTGCAGAAAATTCCCAAAGCAAAAAAGAAGGAGTATTCATAAAATTAATTATTTTGAATTAATAACCCAGGTGTAATGGTACTAAGAAAAGTACAGATTAACTACAGTCCATGCTGTGTATCATTATAGCAAACATGATGGTTTTACTTGACAGGTTTCAGAGTAACAGCCGTGTTAGTCTGTATTCGCAAAAAGAAAAGGAGTACTTGTGGCACCTTAGAGACTAACCAATTTATTTGAGCATGAGCTTTCGTGAGCTACAGCTCACTTCATCGGATGCATACTGTGGAAAGTGTAGAAGATCTTTTTATACACACAAAGCATGAAAAAATACCTCCCCCCCCCCACTCTCCTGCTGGTAATAGCTTATCTAAAGTGATCACTCTCCTTACAATGTGTATGATAATCAAGTTGGGCCATTTCCAGCACAAATCTAGGTTTTCTGCTCCCCCCCCCACACACACACACACACAAACCCACTCTCCTGTTGGTAATAGCTTATCTAAAGTGATCACTCTCCTTACAATGTGTATGATAATCAAGGTGGGCCATTTCCAGCACAAATCCAGGGTTTAACAAGAACGTCTGGGGGGGATGGGGGAGGTGTAAGGAAAAAACAAGGAGAAATAGGTTACCTTGCATAATGACTTAGCCACTCCCAGTCTCTATTCAAGCCTAAGTTAATTGTATCCAATTTGCAAATGAATTCCAATTCAACAGTCTCTCGCTGGAGTCTGGTTTTGAAGTTTTTTTTTGTAATATCGCAACTTTCATGTCTCTAATCGTGTGGCCAGAGAGATTGAAGTGTTCTCCGACTGGTTTATGAATGTTATAATTCTTGACAAGAGTTCCCAGAAGTCACCTACTACAGGACGGGACTAACAAAGAAAGTAACAGAACGCCACTAGCCGTCACCTTCAGCCCCCAACTAAAACCCCTCCAACGCATTATTAAGGATCTACAACCTATCCTGAAGGATGACTCAACAATCTCACAAATCTTGGGAGACAGGCCAGTCCTTGCCTACCCCCCCCCCAGCCCCCCAACCTGAAGCAAATACTCACCAGCAACCACATACCACACAACAGAATCACTAACCTGGGAACCTCTCTTTGCAACAAAGCCCGTTGCCAACCGTGCCCACATATCTATTCAGGGGACACCATCACAGGGCTTAATAACATCAGCCACACTATCGAGCCACAACGAGTCAGAGGCTCGTTCACCTGCACATCCACCAATGTGATATATGCCATCATGTGCCAGCAATGCCCCTCTGCCATGTACATTGGTCAAACTGGACAGTCTCTACATAAAAGAATAAATGGACACAAATCAGATGTCAAGAATTATAACATTCATAAACTAGTCGGAGAACATTTCAATCTCTCTGGTTACGCGATTACAGATGTGAAAGTTGCGATATCACAACAAAAAAACTTCAGAACCAGACTCCAGCGAGAGACTGTTGAATTGGAATTCATTTGCAAATTGGATACAATTAACTTAGGCTTGAATAGAGACTGGGAGTGGCTAAGTCATTATGCAAGGTAAACTATTTCCCCTTGTTTTTTCCTACCCCGCCCCCCCAGACGTTCTTGTTAAACCTGGATTTGTGCTGGAAATGGCCCACCTTGATTATCATACACATTGTAAGGAGAGTGATCACTTTAGATAAGCTATTACCAGCAGGAGAGTGGGGTGGGGGAAGGTATTTTTTCATGCTTTGTGTGTATAAAAAGATCTTCTACACTTTCCACAGTATGCATCTGATGAAGTGAGCTGTAGCTCACGAAAGCTTATGCTCAAATAAATTGGTTAGTCTCTAAGGTGCCACAAGTACTCCTTTTGGTTTTACTTGAGTACATTAAATAGTAGTATTAAGATAACAATTGCAATTTTGCTGCCTGGTTTTAGTTTTACTATAAAAGCTCTCATTGTATTATAGCATATTTTTTCCCCTGGGATACCGTGCTATTTTTATGGATTGGCTAATTGATCTCTTAGGCTTAATTCCATGTCCAATTAACCCAGAATTGTCATGTTTCCTATAATGAGATACAGACAGACTGTAGCTAATCTGGAGTTTTCTTAATATTATCATCAGAGTTGGGCAAATTATTCATAATGACAAATTTTATGAATTATGCCCCTTTTCTGTTTGTGAATTGTTCACAGGCAGAGGTCTGTATAAAAAAGCCAAATATTTTTGCGTGGAGGTATCCCTTACTTAGTCCCTGACTGCCCCTCTACTCTGTGAGTGCACCAAAGCTTTGTCTTCAGAGTTCCCCTATGGAGACAGAGAAAGGCCAAATGCCAGCTTTGTGGGACTGTCCTTCCATCTCTGGAATTTTCCAGGAACTCTTCCATGGGAGAACTGTGAGGGCACTGATCTGTGGGATTTTGATGGTGGGGTCTAGTGAACAAAGGTGTGGAACAGAGGACCTGTCGTTCTCCAGGCCATTGTTCTGTTCTGTTCTAATCTATGTATACTCTTATACCATGCTCATCACAGTAGTATCTGAGTGGAGCTCACTTTACATGCAGAGCAGAGAGAACTGTTTTAAGGTCTGATTTCAAAGCTTCACATGCAGTAAGCTGCATGGAACTCATGACCTTCAGGTCATTATTAGCAGCATTGATAATAGGGAGTAGAAGGGAATGGACCAGGGAGCACACAAAGTTGGAGCCATAAATATTCTGTATATTTGTTGTTGCCCTTTTCCATTTAAACTTAAAGGTGCTTGATGATGGCATGGGAAATTAATATGAATTTATTCCAGTACCAGGAAGGGTAAGAAACAGTGGAGCAATGGGTCAGAACTGGTTTTTCAGCTCAACAGCACCCAGAGTCCCAGAGGTTATCTAGGACATCAAGGGGTCATTTTTCAAAGCAGTGTATGACAAAGGAGCTGAGTCGCCCGCATTGGCATTAATGAGAGTTGTGTAGCAATAACCCTGTGCTGAAAACTTACACTTTAAACTATCTTAAAATAAAATGCATCAAGTCCACAAGAGGGCAGTGTGTTAAAATCATTGGGCTTATATATTTGCTCCTAAAACTCAAGATAAAACAGAACTAGATAAGGATCAGAATTACTTGATGCTCACCACATTCCTGGCCTATGTATGTAAAGCAAAGAAAATAGGCACTTTATGAGCCAGTTTAATGTTTTCTACAAAGCAGATGATGACATACCTCCTTGGCTCCAAAAAGTTTTTTAAAAGACTCATTTCAAGCAAAAGAGATTTAAGTCGACATTTAAGTGGACACACCTTTCTAATGAAACTTTTTTCCCCTTCCTTTTATTTGATGAGTACTAACTATTAAATAATGCAATGTAGGGAAGAAACATGCTTCTAGGAAATAGAGATCACAACTGAGGAGCTGCAAAACCTCTGTTTGCAAATGATATAGAGCTGCCTTCAAAATGGACTGACAGAGAAGGCAGCCCAAATGGTGCCAGTGCAAACATATTCAGCCAAAGATGTTGTGAGCAGATTGTGTGGAAAACATGCCTCACAGAGGGACTAGAGTTCAGCAAGTGTGCTTGACTTTAGGAAAATGATTGGGCCTCACACTTTTTGTTCTGCAGTGGTGTTTCTTGTTTCCCCCAGCAGAAGAAATTGAGTACTGTTTTCTGACATTATTATCTTCTGTTACTACCAAGGATTACTGCACATTCTTATTTACTTATGTCTTCTTTCCAAGCGAGAATATCCAGGTTTCGGTTGGATCTATTTTAAGGTGAATTAATTAACCAGCATAATACATTCCTATGTTTCTTAACTAATTGTGTTTGTTTTACTCTAATATAGTTAGAGGAAACATTGAATGGTATCTGTACTAATCAGCTTTGTCTCTTTGTTTCTTTTCCTTTTTCTTTAATTGGATAGGGTAACCTACCTCCGGATTACAGGATAAGTCTGATTGATATTGGCCTGGTGATTGAGTATCTGATGGGAGGAGCTTATCGCTGCAACTACACCCGAAAACGGTTCAGAACCCTCTACCACAACTTGTTTGGACCCAAGAGGGTAAGGAGTTGGTATTTTTTTACCAGGAGTACTGCGATTCTGACGTCAGGCTCACCAAGAGCGATTCCGGGCCCCAGGGTAGAACAGTCAATGGGCCCCCATGGACATGGTCCGCTTGACATTTTTGCGGTGCTGCGCCTGTGCTGGCTGATGCCCAGGGAGCTGCCAGCTGCACTGGTGGTGCCCAGCAAGCTGCTGGGAGGGCTCTTCCGGCATGGCCAGGGCTTCCACGTGCCCGCCAAGTAGGGTTGCCAACTGTCTAATCACACAACCCCAAAGACCCATGCCCCGCTCCACTCCTTACCTGAGACCACGCCCCTGTCCTGCCCCTTCTCTGAGGCCCCGCCCCCGCTCACTCCATTCTCCTCCCTCCCCCACCCTCACTCACTTTCACCAGACTGGGGCAGGTGGTTGCAGTGTGGGAGGGGGTGCAGGGTGCGGGCTCTGGGAGGGAGTTTGGGTGCAGGAGGGGGTGAGGGGTCAGATTCTAGGAGGGAGTTTGGGTGCAGGAGGGGTTGTGGGGTGCGGGAGGGGGTCAGGGGGTCAGTGCTTATCTCTGGCGGCTCCCAAAACCAACCAGCACACCCCTCTGGCTGTGGCTTCTAGGTGGAGGACCCAGGGGGTCTCTGCATGCCACAGCCCGCAGGTACCTTCCCCGCAGCTCCCATTGGCCGCAGTTGCTGGCCAATGGGACATGCGGAGTCAGCACTCGGGACGGGGGCAGCGCGTGGAGACCCTCTTCCGAGGGGTCGCAGGGACGTGCCAGCTGCTTCTGGGAGTGGCACAGAGCAAGGCCAGGCAGGAAGCCTGCCTTAGTCCAACTGCACTGCTGGCAGCAGCCAGGGGCCCTGGGCCCCTTTAAATTGCCCGGGCCCCTGGGCAATTGCCCCTTTTGGTTCCCCCTGTCAACGGGCCTGTCTGATGTGGTAACAACAAAAAGGTGCTGGGAGTCAATTCAGTGAGGTGCTGAATTTTGGTAGTTTTCTTCACATCGTAGAAGCTATCAGAAGAATCAATACATGGCATGTCATTTGCTGCTAAGATCCAGCTGGTGTTGGCCTGAGTCTAGGATAAAGATTGTTACTGGGTTCTAGTTTTTTAAAAAGCAACAACTCTCTCTACTGATCAGCAGTTCATTATGATCAGGGTTTTGTGCATAGCAGAGCAGCTTCCTCACTGCGACCTAGTGAAAGTCAGCTCTTGACACAAGCTATTTTATGGGCTGGATGCAGAAATTATTAGGTGAGGTTCTTTGGCCTCTGTTTTGCAGTAGGGCAGACTAGATGATCATCATGGTCCCTTCTGACCCTAAAATCTATGAATATGAATCTGGGAATGGTTCTGATACAAAGCCTTATGAAGGCAATGAGTGTCTTTCCATTGACTTTCATGGGCTTTGGATCAGCCCCTGTAATAGGTAGTATGCTGGAGTTAGACTGAAAAAAAAATTGAATTGAGAGAGAGAGAGAGAAATTTCCCTGGTATGTGCTGAACCCTTTGTAAGTGGCATGGAGATTTTAGAGCAGGAAAAATCATAACTCGAAATGGGCTTTCATGGGCTTAATCCTGTACCCCTTGAGGCAAGGAGTGCAGGTTCAAGGCACAATTTTGTATTTTTTGATGTTATACTGCTGTGAATCTGGAGTAATTCTTCAGTCTTTATAAACAAAATGTTGTTTATTCTTGTATGTATTTTTTGTATTTTTTTTTTTTTGGCCAATTCCACCCTGGGTATGGCTGTTCTGTCATTTTATTTTATTTATTTATTTTTAAAGTAGCAAAATGCACTCTTTTGTCTGCAGAGAAATGCTCCCTTCTCTCAGCCACTCAGTGGAAGAACTGTATTAATTAAGGTCTTTTAAACCTTGGGCTAGATCCTTGGTCCCTTTGAATTGCTGAAGCAGTGCAAAAAAGGGCCATATATCTGCTCTATGAGGAGATGGGAGAATCCCTGAGAGATATGCAGAGCCAGCAGTATGCCCTCTCTTTTGCAACTTCTTGTAGGAGGGTTGTCAGGTGAAGGGTACATGTCCAGAATGCTAATGAACTCCAAAGATCGTCAACGGATGGAATGGCCTCTTAGTGTCTGTTGCCATCCAGCACAAATTAGAGCTGCTGTAACTTATGGTAGGGGCCAAACTTATGCCAGGAATCTTGGGGGAGAGGGGATAACTAGGATTATATAATTTTGTTTAAAATGTTATTGGTATGGGTAGGTTATATAATGTTTTTTTTTTAAACTCTTTTTTTGTACAGCCAAAAGCCCTGAAACTTCTGGGAATGGAGGTAGGTGACATGTGATAAATCTTAATGTTAAATTCTCTTCCCTTTCTCACCAAACAAGTTCATCAGCATTATACTATGTGAGACTTGTAATTAATATATTTTAAAAGTTCCACAGATTTAGAATGAGAAGTTAATCACACACAAGGCTGTACGTTCTACCAAGGTAAATTGTTTATATAAATGCAAATAGAAAATCAGTTTCTCAGTATGCTTCCCCATAGACAAACTGAAAAAAAAAAAAGTGTTGGGGGGGAGTAAATCCTGGTATACTCCAGGTCTCTGTTGGTGAAATCAGTACATATAGTTTGAAATAGTACAGTCTATTTGAAACCAGTATCCCAATCCAGCAACTATAAAAATAAAAAGCTGTCAGAGAGGGCAAACAAATATAGTATATGATGCCCAATTCCCATTGACGTGGCTGAGGCTTTTGACTTTTTCTTTTCCCTTTGTAGAAAAGGTTAGGGGCAATTGTTTGGGGTGCAGGGAAGCACAAAATCCTACTTTGCCACTCCAGAATCTATAAATAGCAACTATATGCCTCGCTGTCCTCAGCCAAATACCTGCTACCACATCCGACGGCAATGGATAGATTATCACATTACATGAATGTTTCTGCTAAAATAGGGTCAGATGCACATACTGTTACTCATACTGAGTAGTGCCTTGCTCCACAAATAGTCCTGTTTACTTCAGTGGAACTAAATGGGGGAGAAGGTACTACTTAATGTGAGTGAGGGTATCAGAATCCGGCCCATGCCCATCAGGGAATTTGTTAACAATTAGATTGTTGTTTTAAAGTTTCAGAGTGTGCACAATACTTAGTTGAATGTGAGTGGTTTGCACTTCTCAGAGCAGTTGTTTCAGGCTGTCTGCAGACTCAGAAAACCATCACTGCACTGTTTCATGTTTTTCTCATATATTGAAGGTTTTCTTTGCAACTATATGGGATAGAAGCCTCTCTTTTTTTTTTTAATTAAAACTTCAATTCTGGGGCATAATTCTGTGTCAAGTAGTTGATTTCTGTAGCAATTTCTGTGGCAACCTAATCATGGAAAATATGGAGCACTGAGTATAGTTTTAAAAAATTATTTTACATGCTATTTAGTCTGTGATTCTCAAAAACCCTCCACTTTGTCCTGTCCGTACTCCCAATGACATCCATGGGAGCACTTTCACAAATCCCAGCCTTAATTATTTTGTAAATATCATTGGTTTATAATTGTCACTTTTATGATCACTTTTTAACTATATTTAATTGTAAACAATATTAAAATAAAGATTTTTCAGAAGTAAAATATCTTTACTTCGGAACCTGAGCTGAGATAAAATGGAGGGCATTAGTGTAGCAAAATGTCAGTGTTTTATCCAGTCTTCAATAACCCTCTAATGCTGTGCACTGGCACTTCAGAGAGCTGAGATTTTGTATAAGTTTCACTTTGCTGCTCATACAAGGATCAAAGTTCAGTGCATGCAGTCTGGGAACAGAAGAACAAAGGAAAGTTATAGGACAAGATGAGAGGAAGGAAGGAAATAAACAGGAGAGACAAGCAAGAAGGAATAACATGGAATTGGAGGGGAAAAGGGGAGAAGAAAGGACACAGAATTGAGGGAGTGGGATAGTATGTGAGGAGAGATAGGTTAACCCACTGGTAAGATCAGGATGGAAGATCACTAAGAATGAGACAGAAGTGGGGAAAGGACAAAACAATACCATGCTACCATCTTTTGATGAAGCATCCTCCAGCCTCTCTCTTGTTGTCCTCTCTAATGTAGTTAGAATGGAAAGAGGTGAATGTATCCACCCCAATGAGATTTAAAAAACTCAGAGGTAAATGAACAAACCAAACGCTTTAATGTAAGGGTGGCTTTCCCAGGAGTGACCTGGGCATGTTCTGATAGTGCTTTGCAGTGCCACAGGGAGGGGGCCAGGTTAGATTGACATTCCCAGACTCCCATTTCCCACCAGGCAGGAGCTGGGAGTGTTGAATCATTGTTTCATATGCATCACATTTATTCTGTGAATTATTTTTTTCAGTGAATGTGAAATTAGTTATGTAAGTTTGCGTAAGGAGGAGGAGTGGGAAGCAGCAGAAATTCTCCTCCTAGAAACTCAGAACGTGGGCTGGTCACAGTGAATAATTGGTCAGTCTAATTAGCAATTAAAAGAAAGTAAGTTACATGAACATGTGTGTGGCTTTGGTGAGGGAGTCAGCTTTCTCGTGTCGTGTCTCCTGTATTCAGTGTAAACTGATTCACATTATTCCCTAGAACCACACTTTCTCCTTGTTTGGCAGGATGACGTCCCTTTGCGAAGAGGAAGGAAGACCACAAAGAAACGAGAAGAAGAAGTGGATATTGATTTGGATGATCCTGAGATTAACCATTTCCCTTTCCCCTTCCATGAGCTGATGGTGTGGGCTGTGCTGATGAAGCGTCAGAAGATGGCCCTCTTCTTCTGGCAGCATGGGGAGGAGGCTATGGCTAAGGCTCTGGTGGCCTGTAAACTCTGCAAAGCCATGGCCCACGAGGCATCAGAAAATGACATGGTGGATGACATATCCCAGGAGCTGAACCACAACTCCAGGTTGATTGCCTTTCATGCATACTTTCTGGAGAGTAGCAAAGAGAGGCTGCTGAAACTGCCAGTAATCAGCTTAGGAGTGGCTTGCTTTAACTGCTAAAGATGTAGGGAAAATGCTGTCCCCTCAAAGCCAAAGGAGTGTAGCACAAAGGAGTGTTAGCACAGTTCTAAAAACTGTGCTAACAGTGCAACTTCTGAAATGGATAGAACAGGAGCCAAAAAGGTGAATGAAGCCTCTATACTGACTCTATGCTTTCCTCCATCTTGAGGCCACCAAAGCCTGAATGTGATTCTTCTGAGTCACTTTTCCCATCCCAATGAAATACAGTTCAAAATCTACTGAAGTAGTATCCAGGTGCAGGAAGTAACTAATCAGGAGATCAGACTAGATTATCATCATAATCCCTTCTGGTCTTAATCAAAGACCAACAGGAATTTGAACAATTTTTGGACACTGGTTAATAAAGCCTCCCCTTCAAGGGTACTTGACCATGAGTTCATGAACAAGCAATGGGGGCCTGGACTGCCTAACAGCAGATAGACAATGGGCTTCAAAGAGACAACAGCAAGCAGGCAGGCAGGTGGGAGCGGAGGGTACTCAGTACTTCTAAATCAGGACATTTATTTAAGTGCCTAACTTTAGGCACTCAGGTTTGAAAACGTGGGCCTCCATGTTCAGCCAGCCTTGCAACTGCATTTCATGGAGTGTGATGCAGCTCTTGCAGGAGCTGTCATTAACAGTGTACTTTCCGCAAAGCAGACTGTGCTGGCTAATGAGAATGCCCTCTGTTGCAGGGATTTCGGCCAGCTAGCGGTGGAGCTGTTGGACCAATCATATAAGCAGGATGAGCAGCTGGCAATGAAACTGCTGACCTATGAGCTGAAGAACTGGAGTAACGCCACGTGCCTGCAGCTCGCGGTGGCAGCCAAGCACCGAGATTTCATTGCTCACACTTGCAGCCAAATGCTGCTCACAGACATGTGGATGGGCCGGCTCCGGATGCGCAAAAATTCAGGTCTAAAGGTCAGCACTGCCTTCGTATCAATTAAGAGCAAGAGCTCTGAGGGATGGCGATGGGGCTGACACCAACTCAGCAACAGCTAGATGTACTAATAAACTAATTGCATGGTCCTGTGTTATTTATAGCGACATGACACAGTGTTCATCCCTGCTGGCCCAAATCCTGAGCACCTTACTCAGCCCTTTGTCAAAACTCTCTCCAAGATCAGCAGGACAGTTACTGGCATAGAGACTGAGCAAGGACTTCAGGATGTCTCTCTAACTGCAGGCTTCGGGATTTGGCCGTATTTAAAAAAAAAATCAATTAATAAATTAAAAGGGGGCGTGAGTGAATTTATTACTAATGAAAGGTGCTGAACTGACAACCCTGGAGAATGATCCTCAGAACAAGCAAATGGAGCAGCAGTGCAAATACCCCTGCAGTCCCGTGTCAAGCTGCCTCCTACCTGACCTGGACAGACCACCCCTAGGGGATGTGGGGGATAATTCAGTCAAGCCCATTTCATATTTAATTTCTCTAGTAAGACAGCCAGGGAGAGTGGGGTTTTCTGACAGGCATTTCTGTCCAAGAGGAACTGAGCTATAATGCATTCACCTTCACAACAGTATTCACTAGTCAGACCAAGAATTGCCATTTTTAATTGTGTTTTGTGGTGATATTCCCTGACAGGGGCATTCCCTTGCCTGTATCAGGTTGACATGTGAAAATCGACACTTGTTCTGGCTGTTCTATTATGCTGCAAAAGCACGTGTCTGAGAAAATAATTATGAACAGCACAGATATAAATATATCATTATCCCACTGGAGCTAATGCACTATCAGTAAGAAATGAAAAGGAGTACTTGTGGCACCTTAGAGACTAACCAATTTATTTGAGCATGAGCTTTCGTGAGCCACAGCTCACTTCATCAGATGTGTACCGTGGAAACTGCAGCAGACTTTATATACACACAGAGAATATGAAACAATACCTCCTCCCACCCCACTGTCCTGCTGGTAATAGCTTATCTAAAGTGATCAACAGGTGGGCCATTTCCAGCACAAATCCAGGTCCTCTCACCCTCCACCCCCCCACACAAATTCACTCTCCTGCTGGTGCTAGCCCATCCAAAGTGACAACTCTTTACATAATCAAGTCGGGCTATTTCCTGCATAGATCCAGGTTTTCTCACTTCCCCCCCACCCCCATACACACACAAACTCACTCTCCTGCTGGTAATAGCTCATCTAAACTGACCACTCTCCAAGTTTAAATCCAAGTTAAACCAGAATATCTGGGGGGGGGGGGTAGGAAAAAACAAGAGGAAACAGGCTACCTTGCATAATGACTTAGCCACTCCCAGTCTCTATTTAAGCCTAAATTAATAGTATCCAATTTGCAAATGAATTCCAATTCAGCAGTTTCTCGCTGGAGTCTGGATTTGAAGTTTTTTTGTTTTAAGATAGCGACCTTCATGTCTGTGATTGTGTGACCAGAGAGATTGAAGTGTTCTCCGACTGGTTTATGAATGTTATAATTCTTGACATCTGATTTGTCATCCATTTTTGGAAATATTCAAATAAATTTTCCTTTGACCAATTACATCAGAGCTTGTACATGATATATATCACATTGTGGATGTGCAGGTACCCTCTGATAGTGTGGCTGATGTTATTGCCCTGTGATGGTGTCCCCTGAATAGATATAATGACGTCGAAAATAGGATTCTAGGTCCCACAGAACTGTATCATGTTCGTGGGGGTGGAGGGGCGAGGAGGCCCCAGTAGACACTCTTCTGGGGAGGAAAGAATAATTGTAAATTAAAATAATATAATGGAGGGAGGGAAAAAAAAATGCTTCTCCCCTATTATATAGTATAGTATAAGATATTTTATTTTTTTTTTTTTTTTTATAAAAAAAAAGAGGGTGTTTTTTAATTGGTTTTTTTTTTTTTATTAAAAACAAAAAAAAGAGGGTGGTTGGGAGGGTTGTTTTTTTTTAAAGTATCATTTTTGAGAGCTATTCTTAATCTTTCCCTGTTTGCTGTAGAGGATTTGATCAGGTGATTCGCAGTTTTTTGAGGGTGAGGCACTGTCAGCATAGTCTGTGTGAGTAGATTGAATGATTTTACTTCAGCCTTTTGGATAGCTCCTCAAGGAATATTTCCAAAATACCTCTGAACAACATACTAATCCACAGAGGTCTCCCTGCCAACACTACAGAAAGAGGGATTCTAGATGGACTCCTCCTGAAGGTCGAAACAGCAGACTGGACTTCTACATAGAGTGCTTCCGCCGACGTGCACGGGCTGAAATTGTGGAAAAGCAGCATCACTTGCCCCATAACCTCAGCCATGCGGAACGCAATGCCATCCACAGCCTCAGAAACAACTCTGACATCATAATCAAAAAGGCTGACAAAGGAGGTGCTGTTGTCATCATGAATAGGTCGGAATATGAACAAGAGGCTGCTCGGCAGCTCTCCAACACGAGTTTCTACAAGCCATTACCCTATGATCCCACTGAGAGTTACCAAAAGCAACTACAGCATTTGCTCAAGAAACTTCCTGAAAAAGCACAAGATCAAATCCGCACAGACACACCCCTGGAACCCCGACCTGGGATATTCTATCTACTACCCAAGATCCATAAACCTGGAAATCCTGGGCACCCCATCATCTCAGGCATTGGCACCCTGACAGCAGGATTGTCTGGCTATGTAGACTCCCTCCTCAGGCCCTACGCTACCAGCACTCCCAGCTACCTTCGAGACACCACTGACTTCCTGAGGAAACTTCAATCCATCGGTGATCTTCCTGATAACACCATCCTGGCTACTATGGATGTAGAAGCCCTCTACACCAACATTCCACACAAAGATGGACTACAGGCCGTCAGGAACACTATCCCCGATAATGTCACGGCTAACCTGGTGGCTGAACTTTGTGACTTTGTCCTTACCCATAACAACCTATCCTAAAGGATGACCCAACTCTCTCACAAGTCTTGGGAGACAGGCCAGTCCTTGCCTACAGACAGCCCCGCAACCTGAAGCAAATACTCACCAACAACCACATACCACACAACAGAACCACTAACCCAGGAACTTATCCTTGCAACAAAGCCCGTTGCCAATTGTGCCCACATATCTATTCAGGGGACACCATCACAGGGCCTAATAACATCAGCCACACTATCAGAGGCTCGTTCACCTGCACATCCACCAATGTGATATATGCCATCATGTGCCAGCAATGCCCCTCTGCCATGTACATTGGTCAAACTGGACAGTCTCTACGTAAAAGAATAAATGGACACAAATCAGATGTCAAGAATTATAACATTCATAAACCAGTCGGAGAACACTTCAATCTCTCTGGTCACGCAATCACAGACATGAAGGTCGCTATCTTAAAACAAAAAAACTTCAAATCCAGACTCCAGCGAGAAACTGCTGAATTGGAATTCATTTGCAAATTGGATACTATTAATTTAGGCTTAAATAGAGACTGGGAGTGGCTAAGTCATTATGCAAGGTAGCCTGTTTCCTCTTGTTTTTTCCTACCCCCCCCCCCCCAGATATTCTGGTTTAACTTGGATTTAAACTTGGAGAGTGGTCAGTTTAGATGAGCTATTACCAGCAGGAGAGTGAGTTTGTGTGTGTATGGGGGTGGGGGGGAAGTGAGAAAACCTGGATCTATGCAGGAAATAGCCCGACTTGATTATGTAAAGAGTTGTCACTTTGGATGGGCTAGCACCAGCAGGAGAGTGAATTTGTGTGGGGGGGTGGAGGGTGAGAGGACCTGGATTTGTGCTGGAAATGGCCCACCTGTTGATCACTTTAGATAAGCTATTACCAGCAGGACAGTGGGGTGGGAGGAGGTATTGTTTCATATTCTCTGTGTGTATATAAAGTCTGCTGCAGTTTCCACGGTACACATCTGATGAAGTGAGCTGTGGCTCACGAAAGCTCATGCTCAAATAAATTGGTTAGTCTCTAAGGTGCCACAAGTACTCCTTTTCTTTTTGCGAATACAGACTAACACGGCTGTTCCTCTGAAACCTGTCAGTAAGAAATGAGTGTCAGTGGCTAATAAGATTCTTATCTCACTTGTGTCAGCTCTGCATGAGTACCTTTCTTTTTAAAACTAGGACTGTTCTTACATTTTGGAAACTCCTTTCTCTTAGCCATATGTTTTCTGAATCTATCTGTGCCCTGATCCCCTTGCTCTCCCTGGGGGGCCTGACCCTCTTGCAAACCTGACTTCTGAGATGTTCCAGTTGTTCATTACTCAGTAGATCTTGCTAACTGTAGTGTAGTGGATCTATCCATTTTCCCCCTCTATGCCTTGTCCTTTACAGCACGTATCTCTTCAGTCACACAGCAGACTCCTGGCCGTATCCTTTGCATGATAAGTACCTCAAGGTGACAAATTCCATTTTCCTTTCAGTTTGTCCCAACAGCAGCTCCTCCCAACTGTCCACACTCAGTTTATTGTTCACTCTATTCTGCTTTATTCCATAAACCTTTATCCTTTAACTCTCCCTCCCTGAAGCAACTCTCCTTAGGCAAAAGAGAGAACAGCATAGACTTTTTATGCACCTTAATGGATTATATGGCAGTGTTGGGGGGGGGGGGTTGTACTTTAAAAGCAGGGCAGCTCCAGTCCAGAGACCTGGAATGACCTCTGCAATGCACTAGTAGGCACCAGTAGACAAAGCAGGAATGTTCTCCCTCATGGGATGGAAATATACACTCCCCACATATGCCAACAGGCCTACTGAATAATGTCATTGGCATTACTGAAGTTAAATTCATTGGAGATATGTATACAATGATTTTTCCATGAAATGCTGGCAAAAATCAAGCTTTGGTGTGTGTGTATGTGGTTACAAATGGGCCTAAACCATGGTGGGCTTGATTCCACACAACCCAGGTGTAGAATGATGCATGTATAAGCAGAAGGTAAAATTGATGTGAATCACAAGACAGCGAATACAGGAGAATATGACCTCACATTGACAGGAGCAGTGCTGCAGGGCTGCCAAGTTACAGGAGTGAATACCTAAGCACATAAGTTGCTTACTTTTAAGTCTGTCTCCTCAGACTCACTCATGCCATTGTCCTGACCTATTCTACCCTATTCTACTTGCAAGTAAGGGAGCACAGGGAACTTACTAAGCCCTGATCTACATAACTACATTTCGTTGACCTAGCTGTGTCAAAAATATTACACCCCTTCCCCACATAGCTAAGTCAACAACCTCCCTAGTGTAGATGTAACTATGCCAACAGAAGAATGCTTTCGTTGGCATAGCTAATGTCTTTTGGGGAGGCAGAATTACCATCCTGGCTAAACTCCTTCTGTTGGTTTATGCTGTGTCTCCACTAGTGGGCTCTGCCAGCATAGCTATGCCAGCACAGGCTCTGTACTGTAGACACTGCCTAACACTTACTGCAGGGGACTATGTCTATTGCCTAATGTTTCTTGTGTGTCACATGAACACTGGAACACTCTACTGTGCAATGTGCAAGACTTTTCAGGTTCAAGGTTCAATGCTTTTGTGGGTCCGCCTACTACCTAGTATGGTAATATTTTGTAGTGTTCTAGCTTGTAACAATATGTATGAGATGAGCAGTTTAGGGATAAATAAATTATTCAGTACAATGAGTTAGCCATATAACTTCTATTAACATTGCAAGGCATGCTATGCTTAGTTTCCCCACAGTCCTCTGAAAACATAATTTCAAATGACAGATTTCCAGGTGCCATTGAAACTTACACACTGGAATGTTTGATTTCCAGATTCCCCCAGGGGCTTGTTCCATTTGATACTAAGATACCACCATAATCATAACCTGTTAATTGAGATTATTATTATTATTATCATTATTATTGCTTTAGGTAATTCTAGGAATTCTACTTCCTCCTTCAATTCTCAGCTTGGAGTTCAAGAACAAAGACGACATGCCTTACATGTCTCAGGCCCATGAGATCCATCTACAAGAGAAGGAGCCAGAGGAACCAGAAAAACCAGTAAAGGAAAAGGAAGAGGAGGACATGGAACTCACAGTAAGAGCAAACAATACAAAAGCCAGCCTAAATGCTGTCAATTTACTATTCCCACCTCTACAGGGACTGCAGACTAGAATGTCCAAGTTTAGTGAATAAACGCTTCCAAAAATCCTCTTTCCTCAGCGGGACTCAGTACTTATGTTACAATGCTGAATCACCAAATTTGCCTCTTTGAGTCCTGGTGTTGCCTCAGTGCATGACAATACTGCATCATCACGTTGTGATGTGACGTCATGTATTGACCAACGGCAACGTGGCATTGTCTGAAATAAATGTAACAGACTTGCAGGATTCAGAACACACCCAAGAATGTCAGGATGAGTGGCCTGGATGAGACTGAGCACTTGTCTTTCGTGTGTTCAGAAGGCAGGGAGAATGGAAGTTCCCAAAGCTTGGATGGAGACTGGAGGTTTTTTCCTTTTTATCTGTTCTCGTTCAGCAGAAATTAGTGTGCTGGTATGTCTACTGCTATGATATGGAAATCTGTCTAATCAGAATTTCACCTCTTTGAGTCCCTCACTCAACCCTTTCTCACATTGGTAATTACTTACTAGTATACATGTGGAAGTACTTAGAAAGGATTGCACATTCTAGCCCTGGGTAATAACAGGAGTTCGGTGGGGAGGTTACATTTGATTGTGTTCTTCTGTTTTTTTTATAATGAATATTTTATTTGCTTCATTTAAAATGTTAGAATTGCACAATGTAACCCTGAATGAATAATTTATACCACAAAAGGACCCAAACAGTTGAAATTCCGATGATTAGACAAATCTCCACAGTTCCTTGTTTGTATCAAGCTTCATGAGCATTTTTTATTTGGCCAAGGTAGGGGGGAAATTGCAAATCCCATCATCAGAGAGCTTTGAAGGGCTTTAAACCCACCCTAGTCCTCCAGGGCCAAGATGCAACTGAGACACATCAGTAAAAAAAGAAAAGGGTTCTTTCTGGTTAATTTTTTTAAAAAACAGCCTATTTCCCACAGGCAAACAGCAGGCGCTGCCCCCAGGACCCCGTCTGCAGGCAGGCAGAAGGACCTGCCTACAGGACCCAATATGCAGGCAAGCGGAAGAACCGGTCCACAAGACCTGCCTACAGGACCTATTTGCAGGCAAGAACCTGGCCATTGGAAAAGACCAGATGCCAGCATAGCATTTGATGGGCTGTTTTCCACTCATTAGCTATTAATTACAATTAATTATTGCTGGCTTCTGCTCAATTCATGAAGTGCTTATTCAAATCCAATAAGCGCTTCACACAATGCCATGTTGATGGCATTGGGTAAAAATATGGCGATGAGGTAAATACCATGATCTCTCTGTGAACATCCCGGCTCTCTGTTTCTTGTCTCCAATACTACATTTCCCTTTAAAAACCTTCTGATTCCCACTACAAAAGCACTATAAGCTGAATGATATATTCTTGTTTCCAGGCCTTAGGATTTAAGCTTTCCTTCCTCTCTCCTCTCAGCCTTCTGATAGTCCTATGGCTCTCTCCTTTGACTGACCCCGCCCCCCTACTCCCTGATATGCAGCACACACACCACTGATAACCCAGTTCAGGGAGAATGACTACAGCCTTCTCTACAAAAAGCAGGAGCAGGGGGACCTAGCTGATCGTATGGAGTCCAGCAGCTCTTGTAATATGGTCTTGGGCCCTCTGCTGCTGAATTCAAATGTTTTTTATATGTCCTTGAGTTGTGAGCTATAGAACACCTAACTAATTAATTTTGCATCAGTCAACAGCAGGGAAGCTGCTGGGCCCCACAGTGGAGATGTAGGAGATTTGCAGAGAATGGGACCTTTCTGGATAATAGTTTCAGAAGAAAGATGACATCCATGTCATGAGGCTGTTATAGTTAGTCCTTTCCCAGGCTTGACAAGAAGTGACATTTTCTAATTATAAAAAATAGTTTGGTTTCAATTCTGGGTGAAAGTTATGCATTGGTTCTTATTTTATCTGAACTGCTTCACCCCTGGGACAGGAGGACCCCAGAAAGATTACTCAAAAAGCTCTTTCATGAAGACCTTTTTTTGATCACACTTGATATTTAGGGTACATTTTAAACAGTCTGAGAGTTAATAAATTATTAATAGATGTTTTCATAAACGGTTAATTGTTATAGAGGCCAACAATTTGCTTATAACCGTAACTTGTAACCATCTACAGTCTTATCACTGTCCATAACACACACTACTCAGGTTTGTAGAGTGCTTATAATGTCTATTAATTCTTTATAAGTGTATCTTGAATATAAAGTTGCCCTCCTTTTTTTAAATGGCTAGTAGTCCAACTCTGTGAATTGATTATTATAGAATAGGGTGTTTTCTGTGCTGCCCCAGAGGACGGGGGGGATTTTACCACCACCCTGTGGTGCACGAAAAGGATTGTGTTACAGCCTTGGCTTACACTTATGCAAAGTGGGTGTAAATCGCTACCATTCTGATCTGATAGCATTTTCCACCCAATTTGCACTCATTCTGCACAAGAGTAAATGACCACACAAAGTGCAAAAGCAGGGAAATAAAGCCAATGTGTGTGACTCGGCATGTGTTTACACTGCTTTTTAACAGCTTTTTGTTTGGTAGTACCCAGAGGGACAGTTATATCAGGAGAGGGGAATTGAGGGCTTGTCCACATGGTGCAGCAGTGCACAATACAGGAGTGTTATTTCTAAAGTACACTAATGTGTTGCACCCTGCTGGTGTGCACTAAAGGTTCCCTACTGTGCTTTAATGTAGTGTCATTTGAAATAGTATTTCATTAGGGAACCTTTAGTATGCACCTGCAGGGTCCACACAGATCAATTAATGTGCCTAAGAAATCACACCCTCATAGTGTCCGTTACCCTAGCCAATAGACAAGCCCTAAGTTATCACCCATAGTATGCTGAATTTATACATTGTAAATTACTTGTTACTCACTTTTGCTTTTTAAATTTCTAACAGGTGCATGGGAGTGCCAGGCACAAACCCCATTAACACTTTGGTGATAGGCAACAGGATTTCCTGATATAACATGCCCACAAGAACACGTTTGCTAGAGCTCCTCTTTCATCATTGCAACCCCAGCACCAAAAGGGTTAACAAGTCATAGGATTTGTGCATGGAACTTTCACTCACTAATCCTTAATACTTAAATTTGAAGAATTACAGGATGGGGGGAGGAGTGGCAGGAAACTAAAATCTACAGGAGTCTAACTCTTCCACGGACAATCTTATTTCTGGAACCAGATCACAGTCATTTATTCAGTATTTTCTTTGTTTAGTTCTAATTTTCCCCATCAAATAAAGAGTCTGCCCTTCTACAAGTAGTAAGAGTGCAAATAAAAGAAACACATTTGGGCTTAGGACATCCCCCACTTCAAAAAATCTCAAGTAGGTTAATTTTTTGGATATGAAATGATTCCGGCTCTTTCTGGAATTAAAAAAAAATACAATAAAACCAATACAGACTGAATCCCTAAAGCTACAAAAATTAGCTTTGAAAATTAGCTTCTCCGTGGGGTCAGCACTGCAGTGGTACAGATGAGAGCTGTGAGATAGCAGGGCTGTTTGCCTGGTTTTTTTTTTCTTACTCATGACAAAGACCAAGTGAACTGGGGAAAAAGCACAGTTGTCGAGGAAAGGTTGGCCAAAAAATGGTTCCCTCTTCATGCCAGGAAACACTGAATGGCTGTCTGTGAGGGAGATTGTTTTCCCACAACCCCTGGTCATGTTTCTGTGTCAGTGTCTGTCCTCCCTGCTGTCAGCAACTCTTAATCTGACTTGAGTAAGCTGCTGGTACTGGCCAGCAATAGGAGCAGCTGAAAATGCTAAAGGGGGCCACTGAGCTGAACTTAACACCTTTGTCTTGGCTGTGCCTTAACTCACCCCCACTCACACACTTCTGCTCACTCCCCATGACTCAGTTCAGGGTGAATATATAGGCTTGCTCACATTGCTAAACACTATGGGTGAAATTTGGCCTGGTGCAGAGAACCAGCACAAGGGATATGCATCACTTATGTCTCATGTAAAAGCCATAATTTGGGGACTTAAATAGTGCATTAGCCGTGCTGGTCCCTTGCACAGAGCTGAATTTCACCCTAACTGCTGTACATTTCTGCACACTGGGTGGAAACCTCTCCGTACAACTGCTGAGCAGACACTAAGGGTAAGTCTTACGCAGCATTTTGGAGCGAACCTCGTAGGCCAAGTCAAAAGATGGGCTGGCGGGGATCACACTAGTGTGCCAAGAATAGCTGTGTAGGCAGAGCTTTGGAGTTTCAGCTTGGGCTTTGAAGCTCACCCCTCCCATTAAGCTCCTGCCCAAGCCACAGCTTCAAAGTGCTGTCTGCACAGTTCTTTTTAGAGTGCTAATGCAAGCCTCACTAGCCCATCACTCACCATTTTTTACATCGCGCTCGCATGTTTTTCTAGAAGATCTGTTCTAGGAAGAACTTTCCCCAAATGATATGTATGGTCTATGTTATACAGAGGTCAGACTACATAATCATAATGGTCCCTTCAGGCCTTAAAATCTATACCTCGGTTGACTTAGGCTGGGGGGCTTGCTCCAGAATGCTGTGTAGACATATGCCCAGCTCTAGTGCTTTGGCTCTGCTTATTTCTTTCAACAGTGTTCAGCAGATGCTCCAGAAATGAGCACGTAGAGCTGCAGTTAGTATATATCAGTGTCTAGAAAACTGTTCTCAGTGTTCAGAAAAAGGAACTATTGGGCACATGCAAAAGCTGGTTTTTACATGCTTACATCTCTGGGGTTTTTAGCTATTTTTGTCCTAGAAACAATGGAAGTATCCATTCCTTAGCAAGGAATAGCCACCCAATACCGTTATCACATGGCCATCATTTCCCTCTGTATTGTGGGGATGGTTGTGTATTGTGTGTGTGCACGCACACGCATGCGTGTAGGTGGATATTCAGCAAGCTATGTTCCATTTTTCCTCACTAGTTTGTAGGTACTAAAGTTTGTAAGTAGCGTGTGCGTTTCACTAAAGATGAGTTCTGAAAAGCCGAAGCTCATATTCAGTGGGATCAAAATTCTTGTTATAAAACAAATATACAGTATATACTGCTACTACTAAAAAACATATTTTAATTTGTAAGTGCACAACCCAAATGTATCTTGTTGCCGGAACAACCCTAAACATAATTACAAGGAAATAAAGCCACATGCCTAAAAAAATCCCAGAACCCTGCTCACAAAATCCCCATGTCCCACTCAATAATGTACATGTAGCACACAACATAAAACTGCAAGCCAAAGGGAAAGCAAGTAATGAGGATGCTGCAGATACACTGCACTGTGCATGTTGCCCTGAAGTCAGGATTACCCTGACTGACTCATGGCAAATCACAGGCAAAGTTTTACATTAGAAAATGAGATGCCACTTACACCAAACAGTCTCAGTGTAGTCTCACTGCTTCTCCTAGCTTCTACTTTCCCTTAGAAATAGACACACATGTTTGTTCACATTCACTGCTTGCAACAGCACCGTGCATACTGTCCATTGACTCAGGCTTTTTTGATAATATTTTTAATGGGAAGGCTTTTCAGATTTGTTAATAACATCATGAAATTAACATCCTGGGACATTAGATTAAGCTTAATCCTGAGCAGTTTTAAAGCTGTTCGCCATCTGCAAGGTCGGGGAGGGTGGCTCTGTGGTCAATGGTTATTTTGAAATGACTGTAACATGTTTAACCTCAACATCACTATCCACAAGAATAACTAGGCAATAAAGCAGCAATAGTGAAAGAAGAAATGAACCTAAAGCAAGGTACTGAACAGGACCTTATCACATTGACTGCTGTGGGAGTACAGGAGCATTTACAGTCACATGTTTATGAAACTGTGAAGGGTTTGGAATCTGTTAAACAGTCACCCGCCCTGAAACACTGCCCGGTGCCTTAGTTAAATCTGCCAACGCCCATTTTCACCTCTCCCTCAGAACTCTTGAGCACAAGCAGGCAACAGAGCTAAAAGCCCCAGGATAGGCACTGCAGATTTGTGTAGTATCAGATATCAGTTTTCCCCTTAAACACTCAGGAGGCAGAGGGAAGTAAGCAGACAAATGATTTTCTCAGGCAGGAAGAGCAGAAATTGTTCAGAATATCTCAAATCACATGCAAAAAGCCATCCTCTCTCGTGACCTGGGAAATAACTCTGTCCCTCAGGCAAGTTGCCTTTGGTAATGGGGAGGGTTAACAGTTTCTATTAATATTATTACATTCACTGAGTGTTTGTTGGAGATAGAGTCTGCAAGGAGTGAGTCAGTCTGCTTAGCTAAAGTGAATCCTGCTACCATTTCCCTTTGGGCACTATCCACTTCCTCCTTTTATTCTGATACTGTGTCTCACCCAAACTTCTTGTGACTTATTTTTTGGGTCTAAGTTGGGTGCCCTGTGTTAATATTTAATACCAGTTGTTTTAAACACATTTGCTAATGCCCCTAGTGTCTGGGATAGACACAATGAGCTAATGGATAAATAACTCTTCTAAGATGAGGAGTACTTGTGGCACCTTAGAGACTAACCAATTTATTTGAGCATAAGCTTTCGTGAGCTACAGCTCCCTTCATCGGATGGACTGCAGTTTTAGGAGGGGGAGAAAAGACTCGGCTTCTACTCTATCCTTGAGTCCTAGATCTTTGTTCTTTTTCGATAAAGACTTACAGTTAGCAGGTATTCAGTCAAATACAAGAAACTGAGCAACCACATGGCAAATAGCAATAACTTTGAGAAAACTAACATGAATCAAATAAAGTGTAAACACTAGAAATGGCAGCAAAAACGTAGATACCTTAACAATAAGTACCCTATAAATATCTAGACAGACAGAAATAAATACATAGGTTCATGCCTTGATTGAGTTGTTATTTATTCTTTAATGAGGCCAAAACATGCAGGAAAGGCTTCCCAGAAGATATAGCAAGGTACAGTGCCTGTCCTTAAGAACTTGCATTCTAAAATATAGATATGACACCATAATGTGGGGTGTCAAACAGTCTGAAGAGTATGGGAAGAGAAAGGATTAGGGCTGTCAATTAATTGCAGTTAATTCATGCAATTACTCAAAAAAAATTAATGGCAATTGAAAAAATGTATCGCATTTAATCACAGTTTTAATCGCACTGTTAAACAGTAGAATACCAATTGAAATTTATTAAATATTTTGGATGTTTTTCCACATTTTCAAATATATTGATTTCAATTACAACACAGATTACAAAGTATACAGTACTCTATATTATTTTTATTGCAAATATTTGCACTGTAAAAATGATAAAAGAAATAGTATTTTTGAATTCACCTCATACAAGTACCGAGGTGCAATCTCTTTTTCGTGAAAGTGCAATTTACAAATGTAGATTTTTTTTGTTACATAACTTCACTCAAAAACAAAACAATGTCAAACTTTAGAGCCTACAAGTCCACTCAGTCCTACTTCTTGTTCAGCTAATCGCTAAAATATAAACAAACTTGTTTTGTCTATATTTATGGGAGATACTGCTGCCTGCTTCTTATTTGCAATGTCACCTGAAAGTGAGAACAGACGTTCGCATTGCACTTTTGTAGTCATCATTGTAAGGTATTTATGTGCCAGATATGCTAAACGTTCGTATGCCCCTTCATGCTTTTGCCACCATTCCAGAGGACATGCTTCCATGCTGATGACGCTCGTTTAAAAAAAACTAATTCGTTAATTAAATTTGTGACTGAACTCCTTGTGACTGAACTCCTGCTCTGTGTTTAACCTGCATTCTGCCATATATTTCATGTTATAGCAGTCTCGGATGATGACCCAGCATGTTCGTTTTAAGAACACTTTTTCACTGCAGATTTGACAAAACACAAAGAAGGTACCAATGTGAGATTTCTAAAGAAAGCTACAGCACTCGACCCAAAATTTAAGAATCTGAAGTGCCTTCCAAGTCTGATCGGGAGCATGCTTTCAGAAGTCTTAAAAGAGCAACACTCTGATGCGGAAACTACAGAACCCGAACCACCAAAAAAGAAAATCAACTTTCTGCTGGTGGCATCTGACTCAGATGATGAAAATTAACATGCATTAGTCTGCACTGCTTTGGATCATTATCAAGCAGAACCCATCATCAGCATGGATGCATGTCCTCTGGAATGGTGGTTGAAGCATGAAGAGACATATGAATCTTTAGCACATCTGGCATGTAAATATCTTGCTACACCGGCTACAACAGTGCCATGCGAATGCCTGTTCTCACTTTCAGGTGACGTAAACAAGAAGCGGGCAGCATTATTTCCTTCAAATGTAAACAAACTTTTTGTCTGAGCAACTGGTTGAACAAGAAATAGGACTGAGTGGACTGGTAGGCTCTAAAGTTTTACATTGTTTTATTTCTGTATGCAGTTATTTTTGTACATAATTCTACATTTGTAAGTTCAACTTTCATAAGAGATTGCACTACAGTACTTGTATTAAGTGTATTGAAAAATACTATTCTTTTATTTTTACAGTGCAAATATTTATAATAAAAAATAAATATAAAGTGAGCACTGTATACTTCATGTTGTGTTGTAATTGAAATCAATATGTTTGAAAATGCAAAAAACATCCAAAAATATTTATATAAATAGTATTCTATTGTTAACAGTGCGATTCATCGCGATTAATTTTTTTACTTGCTTGACAGCCCTAGAAAGGACAAAGGTGTTACAGCAATATAATAATCTGGTTATTCAGGGAGATAGAATGTAAGAACATGAATGTTGTGAATTAATATTATAGATTAAGGAAAGTCATCAAGAGGTTATTTAATATAGTACTGCCCCAGCAAACATCAGATATGATATATCATAAAGTTTAGGGGATTCATCCTTAGTTTACCTGCATCTTCCCAAAAGTACCTTCAAAATTTTCAGCACCAGGAAGAATGGCACAGAACTGTAATGTCATTATCCTCAGAAATACAACCTCCCATTGCAGAAGGTAAAATTCATTTTTTGACTTTACCTTCCTCGATATAGTCTACGTACACCACAAATAAACAAACAAGAGATTGTAATGTTTGTTTTTAAATATTTAGGAATCGCTTAGCTATTATGGTGATGGGCCATATCACATTTCCAGCAAGGCACTTTAAGCACATAAATAATGCCACTAAGTCAACTAATTACGTACACGATTAAATGCCTTGATGAATCAGGATGCATGAATGAAGGAAGGACAGTGTCGTTAAAGTACAAATGCCGGGTTTGGAGAAATCATCTCTGCCATGACATCCTGTGTGACTTTAGATAAGTCACTTGACCTCTCTATGTCTTAGTTTCCTCCTTTGTAAAATGGGGATAATAGCAATACTTGCAAGGGTGTTATAAGGCTGCATTAATTATTGTGTAAATAGTAAAATGCTTTGAAATCTTCAGAAGGGAAGTGTTATAGAAACATTAACTAAAAGCAGCAGGGCAGCACCAGCACACTTAAGTAAGGCAATAGGTATTAAAATACTTGACTTGTAGATGTCACTACATGGAGAAGTACCAAAATCTGTGCCTGTCGCAACAAATTTAGGAGTGGGAACTTGCTCGCAGCATGAAAACTCTCATAAAATTCCATCTACCCTGAGCCTTTTATTCAGAGAGGAGTGAAAACAACAGAGCAGTTCTACAGTCAGTATTACAAATACAGCAGGACAGTTCTCTTTGTTTTTTTTTGGCGTTATTTCTTTAAGGAAAACAATGCCATTCTTCAGAGGTTATAAAATCATTTAAGATTCAGTGAATAGTATTTATTGTAATTATTTTCTCTCTCTAACGTTGAGCGTGAATTTCAGACTAGCTCTGCATGTAGACAACATCCATTGTTGTTGTTTAGTCACCATTAGTATTGTATTTATTTCTAAAGCACCTACCGGCAGATCCTCAGCTAGTGGAAATTGTAATAGTGCCAAAGAAATCAAGTCATTGAAGTCAATGGAGCTATGGCAATTTACACTATGTGGTAGATCCTCAGCTAAAGTGTGTTCAGCATTCTGGAAAATAACCATGGAAGAAGATCCAATCCCTATAGCAAGGAGCTTACAGTCTAAAGCTGTAGAGGGGGAGGGATAGCTCAGTGGTTTGAGCATTGGCCTGCTAAACCCAGGATTGTGAGTTCAATCCTTGAGGGAGCCATTTAGGGATCTGGAACAAAAGTAAGGGACAGTACTTGGTCCTCCTGTGAAGGCAGGGGACTGGACCTTTCAAGTCCCTTCCAGTTCTATGAGGATAGGTATATCTCCATATTATAAAGCCTCATTCCTGCAATGGACTCCAATGGGCAGGCCTCTGAATCCATATTGAGATCACTGCAGGATTGTGGCCTAAGTGGGATACAGTGAACAACAGTCAGCTTCATTATTTCTAATCCAGTAACCTTCAACATCTGCTTTCCTCCTTCCTGCATTTCCCTTCCAGTATCAACTCTCTGATCGTTTTCCTATAACAACTTATTTTCTAACCTTCTCTGCTTTGCACATAGCTACATAATAGGAAGTGACTGTCGGGAGAAGAGACAAGAAATCAATGTAGCAAAAAGCAGAAATGTTTCTCACATCTTATTCTTGTCCCAGAACCAACATATGAATGGAGCTCAGTAGTCACATTGGTATTGACAGTTCTGCTGAAGCGTGTGGCTCCTTCAGCTTATAAGGGAACAATTGGTATGATCTGAACTGGAGCTTCCCGTCCAAAAGCGGTTGTTTGCAAACAAAGTAGTTCGAATCCTGCAGCTACATGGGCCCAACAGGGATGGGTCATCTGATCCGGTCCTCATGTTCAGATGAAGATATCAGTTAATGTGGCTCCTTTTGACACTTTCAAAAATAACAGTCCCCCTTGTGGGATCCAATTAAGGTGTAGTTCATAGTTCACAAGGAAATAACTACAATAGTGGCCTTTCTTGTTACAGGCAATGTTGGGCCGAGGGAATGGAGAATCATCAAGAAAGAAGGAGGAAGAAGAAGTTCACAGCGGACACAGACTGATCCCTCTCGGAAGAAAGATATACGAGTTCTACAATGCACCCATAGTTAAGTTTTGGTTCTACACGGTAAGCTATCTTTCTCATAATACAGGCACTTGTAAAGAAGTCAGTGTCACTCTGTTCCGTGTATCTGTTTGTACTGGCACAAATTTTCAGAGGACCTCCATTAATACATTCACAAATGCCATTTGGGGAAGCAGACTGACATTTGCAAGTCCAACCACAGTATTTGCATATACAAATGCTGATTTACATGGACAAATGGGTGAGCCTGTAAATGTTGTAGACATACTTTTGGAAATATCTGTCTCTGAGTACTACAATAATAGAGCCAAATTCTGAAGTCCACCATCAGGCAATACTCCTATTGAATTTGTTGTTGGACTCAGTGGGAGCTTTGCCTGAGTAAGGACTCCATAACTGGCTCACAATTAATTAAAGTAGGTATCACCTACTACAGCAGTGTACTTTCTTAGCTCATTTTTGTTTTGTTTGGCTAATTTTCATGATCTACCTTCTGCTGAACCCAACCCCAATTTCAGCAAATCACAAAAAAGAACTCCCTGTTTCTGGAGATGACTTTAATCATGCTTTCCTGCTGAGACCTTAATGATACATATATAAGCAACACAAACAGCTCCCTGTCAACAGAGATCAAGCCATGGTGGGTAGCATATGCTAGTAACTTACTCCAACCTGGCAAGTGTCATCCGAACAAGATACTACCGAACCGTAGCTAATAGATGTTAATCAAGCTGATGAATCTAAAAACTGCTCATCAGCAGTCCAGTATCATTATGAGTATCAATGTGCATTATGCCTACCAAGAAAATTCTTTCCACTGCAAGCAAAATGAGTGTCCTGGCTTGCACTACTGTTTCAATCCTGAAATGGAAGAGGGAGATCAATACTGCATTTTCATTTAGACCTGTTTCTACTATTTTAAGTCCTGAGGGAGGTCAGGGTCACTTATTAATGGGTCTTGGCTAGATTCATCTTCCAGAGCAAAGTAAGGCTGTGAGGCCTGGCTGATTGGACTTGAATGAGAAATGCTTCAAAATGAAAGAAAGTGAGGGTTAGACTCACTCTGAAATCAGTCTGGCTCATTTTTTAAAAAAGTATAGCCTAAAAACTATTCAAAAGAAATCCCCAAAATCTTTGTATCCAAGGTTCAACAGGCGAGGAAGTGTCCATGTAAACTACAATTGTCAATATGAATGGCATATAAAACTATTCCATTATTCTGTGCCCTCCTCTAATACCGTCATTCTTAATGTATATTGGAGTGGGCTAAATTCAGCATGTTGTGATTGTTACTATTGAAATGGACCTTGTATTTTTACAACACTAATGTCCACTCATTCAGTAAAGGGTCCCAATTCAACTTGGATTGGTGGGATTAGTTGCCAAGAACAGGCAAAAATCTATCTAATTGGTACATTTTAACTGAAAAAGGACATCAAGAGGATTTCAAAGGTACTGTCCCTATGTTATTTTGCGTGAAGAATAGGCCCATCCTATTTTGAAGCTGTTCTTTCAATTAGGTAGCAACATTTTCAATCCAGCCAGTCCCACTCATCTTAGTCTTCAGTTGACTCAAAAGGACTAGACCCCAGAATAAGTCAACCTGGCTCTCCCTTTCCTTCAAACATGCTGAGAAGATCAGGTTAACTCTCAAGAAACAATCCAATCACCAAATACAGATCTGAAAGAAGGGATGAGTCCATTTCCTCCTCCTGTTTTAAGTAGAAGGGGTAGATCTTAACTGTAGTCATAATTCTGGTCAATTTAAAGAATTTATCTAGGTGGTTTCCAAGCCAGTAACTGAAAATAAAGCCAGCACTAAGTGCTGCAAGCTTTATGCTTTCACACACTTCAACAAATTGTTTGTGTGAACTAATTGAACCGAGCAGAACTATGGACTCAATTCTCTGAGGCGCTGATCACTGGCTACCACCACTGAAGTCACCCTGTCCAAAATCCATAGCCCCACTACGTTGCTTCCTTTTGACCTTGTTACAGCATAGGCAATAGACCTAGAGTAATACACAAGAAAAAGAAACCTACTTCTTAAAGTACAAACACTTGTAATAAAATGTCAGCGTTAACAGAACACATGCCTAAATCTCTACGCCTGGCACTGAAGATTTTCTCTGAAGAGTTTGACTTAAAATATTCTATATCATAGAGCTGTTGCTTTAAAAGTGAGGTACTCACAGGAAAAAGAGAAGGGAACTGAGCACTCCAAAGTCTGACCAGAGTCAAATATCCCTGCCACAGAATTATTCCACAGTGACTCCATGTCACTCGCCAAAGTTCCCTCACCAAAGGCTCTTAAGCAAAGCAAGCATTCATGGGATAAGAGGGAAGGTCTTCTCATGGATCATAATTGTTCAAAGACAGGAAACAAAGGGTAGGAATAAATGTTCAGTTTTCACATTGAAGAGCAGTATATAGCAGGTCCCCCAAGAGTCTCTACTGGGACCAGTGCTATTCAACATATTCATAAATGGTCAGGAAAAAGCAGTAAACAGTGAGGTGACAAGGTTTGCAGATGATACAAAATTATTCAAGAAGGTTAAGTCCAAAGCAGACTGAAGAGTTACAAAACTTGGCAGCTGGGCAACAAATTGGAGATGAAATTCAAAGTTGATAAATGCAAAATGATTGACATTGGAAAACCTAATCCCAATGATACACACAAAATGATAGCGTCTAAATTAGCTATTACCATTCTAGAAAGAGATTGTGGAGTCATTGTGGATAGTTCTCTGAAAACATCTGTTCAATGTGCAACAGCAGCCAAAAAAGCTAACAATGTTAGGAACCATTAGGAAAGGGATAGATAATAAGACAGAAAAATATCATAATTAAACTATATAAATCCATGATATGCCCACACCTTGAATACTTCATGTAGTTCTGGTTATCCCATCTCTAAAAGATATATGAGAAATAGAAAAAGTACAGAGAAGGGCAACAAAAATGAATAGGTGTATGGAGCAGCCTCCATGAGAAAAGACTAAAAAGACTGGGACTGGTCAATTTAGAAAAGAGATGCTGAAGGGGTGATATAAGATAGAGGTCTATAAAATCATGACTGGTGTGGAGAAAGGGAATAGGGAAGTGTTATTTACCCCCTTCACATAATGCAAGAACCAGGGGTCACCCAATGAAATTAATAGGCAGCAGGTTTAAAAATAACATAGGGAAGTACTTCTTCCCACAATACATAGTCAACTTGTGGAAAGTGTTGCCATGGGGTGTTGGGAAGGCCAAAAGTATAACTGGGTTCAAAAAATAATTGGATAAGTTCATGGAGGATAGGTCCACTAATGGCTGTTAGCCATGATGGTCAGGGGCGCAACCCCATGCTCTGGATGTCCTTAATCCTCTGGCTGCCAGAAGCTGGGACTGATCTACAGGGATCGATCAGTCGATAATTGCCCTGTTCTGTTCATTCCTTCTGAAGCATCTGGCACCAGCCACTGTTGGAAGACAGGATACTGGGTTAGATGGACTATTTATTGGCTTAACGCAGTAGAGCCATTCTTATGTTCATGGCTTCTCCTAATTGGCTGATCAGAAGTGCTTCATTTATTTTATTTCTTTGTTTTTTATAAATGGCCTATGTCCCAAAGTACTAAAAGAAAACCCACCATCTTTTTCAACCCCTACAGGTGTTAGGGCAGATGGTAGGAATATGAAGGGAGAGGACCAGAGCAGTTGTGCTGTGAAGCTTGGAAGGAAGTGAGGGGAGGTGGGTGAGCAACAGCAGCAGTGGGGCCAGAGAAGTAAGGAGATAGATGGTCAAGGTGGTAGAAATAGTATGCATCATGACCAGGCTAGATGGAGTATTACTCTGAGTCAGGGCAGGTAGTAGTGGTCACAGTTCAGGGTAACTTCACCTGTATTCCCCATTGTGGTCCACCAAGAGCACCCACTCTAGGCTTCTGACTCCTCAGCTGTCACCTCTTTTGGGCACAGATGCACATCTCTTCCCCCTCCTCAAGGATTTTTCCAGGTTGCACAGTTCCTTGCCTATACTATGATATCCCCGGACTACCTAAGAAACCAGTGTTTGTGCTTTCCTTTCTCCCCAGAGGCTATGCTCAGTGTATTGCCCACAGTTATAAGTTACCACACAGCTCTTTATAAGCAAGCACATTTATTCCTAAGGTGAAAGCATTACAGAGAAGACATTAAAAAATTAAAATAACCTATGCACATGCTAAAAAAGCTTACTAGAGGTTGCACCAACTCCAATCTTAGTCTCCGATAGGTGTCACTCCTCCAAAACACACAACTGGGTTTTCCCTTTGATTATAAGCACTTAACTGTCTCGGATTCAGAACCAGAACACCAGCTGGATAGATCAGCCTGTTTCTTTAAACAGTTCAAGTCTTTGATCTCTAAATCCTGGAAACAGGTAACGAGCAGACAGTCACCCTCTCCTGGAGAATGTAGCTTCAAAAGGCTGGGTTTTTGCATAACTGGAGGTGAGGAATTTGCATTAGCCTCTCCCTAGGCATTTTCCAGGAAATCTACTTCACATTTATTGCCCCAAAAAGTCCATTCTTGTCTGGCACAATTTCATTATATTCCTTTAAACTCAACACTTCACGTTACATCTTTCCCCTCAAGAGGTTACATACAACTCCAGCCCATACTAGGTGATTTAGGAAGTCTAGGTTTGATAGTGGCCTCTTGGAGGATATAGAACCATGACTGATCCCATCTGGCATAGTGAAGATCCAAGTGGGTTGTGTTAACAATGATGGGAGTGATTATACTTCTGAAGCAGCAGTAGCAAGGGAGAGGAGAATCATAGAATCATATCATAGAATCATAGAATATAAGGGTTGGAAGGGACCCCAGAAGGTCATCTAGTCCAACCCCCTGCTCAAAGCAGGACCAATTCCCAGTTAAATCTTGGAGACCCCCAAGCATTTATTTTAGAGCTTCCACTTGGTATGCAGATTCAATTTGCATAGTTGCTGCTGCTGTTCTCCTCTCTGTTTACAGATAGAAGATCTTTGCAAACTGAAATTAGGGTTCTAAAGCCACTTCAGAGGATCTGACTATGCTGTACAAACATTAGTTAATGGTTACTGATGTCAAGAGAAATTCTTTGTTTCCTTACAGTTGGCATACATCGGGTACCTGATGCTGTTCAACTACATTGTGCTAGTGAAGATGGATCGTTGGCCTTCTACACAGGAATGGATAGTTATCTCCTATATTTTCACATTGGGAATAGAGAAGATGAGAGAGGTAACACTATCCTGGAAGAGCCAGAAACAGAAAGGAAACACAAATACTTTTCACATTTTTTTTGTTTTAATTATTTTTCTCTGAGTATTTTGTTAGGTAGACTTACCACAAAGTTTCTTTTTTTCCAGGAAAGCAGAAGGGATGTTGAAATTTCTATTGCTACATTTATCCATTTTACTGCTTTTAAAAGCAACACACTCGTACAACCCCTTGGAACTTCCAAGTTCAGATTTCTACACAAAGTCTAATGAAATTGTCAGAGGCTGAGTTTTCTTCAAACATAGTCCCACTTTCCATGGGATTTCTTAGGGCTCTTCACAATGTTCCTCATAGGCATGGCCACTGAAGTATAATTGTGGGGCTTGTTTACTTTTAGGTGTGTGTGGAGGGGATTAGAGAGAGGATTCCAACCAGAGCCCCACATCTAAATACCCCCAAACTGTCTGAAAGCTTGGCTCTGCATTCAATATTTGCAACTGTCCTATGTCTCCATAACGTGCTGAACCAAGACTCTGGATCCAAACGTCCTGAGTTCTGGGACCATTCAGACTCATAACCAAACACTGTGACCCATTTCGGGGGGGAGGGTTCTCCTTCTTTATGTAAATGTTTGTTCACTAATTACATTAACTGATGACAGGCATCTCCCAAAAGATTTGAAAGCACTTAGAGAAAAAAGGTGAACATCATTCATGAGTGCATTCAAAATTCTATAGTTATATGAGAAGCAGAATTGTTTTTTCCTCTTCTGTTCCCTGTCCCCCTGCAACTACAGCTGTGCCCTTTTCACGTGGCCGAATAAGGGTTTATTTCTGCAGTGAGAGCACAGGCCAAATTCAGCCCTGATGGGAGCAGGTGTATCTCCCATTGACTGCATTTGTGCCCCCGGGCTGAATTTGATCTTGTCCTCAGATTCTGCCATCCATGTTTGCATTTTCTACCAACAAACCTATTTAAGTGCCTTTGAGGACTAGTGAAAAATTCATCCTAAAACAGTTACTTAAAAGCACAATGCAGGTTCCAAAAATTTGGGCTTTAGTTTTAAATCAAATGAATAGAGTTACAACATGGTGGAATAGGACAGTGATTTGGTGGGCACACACCCCATCAATCAACCACAAGGGGGCTCTGCAGCACAGATAAAAAGTTGCAGAGAATTCAGTGGATGAAAACAAATGCTGTTAAATATTTTCTGTGAATATTTGTTCCATTTTTATAATCATTCACTTCAACTGTGTGTGCACTTTCCACAAACATTTTAGAATGTTTATGGAAAAAGAGTTCTAAGTGGAGGTTGGAGATTATTCACAGAAAACTAGACTACAATTTGTCTAAGAATTGTGCTCAACAGGTCAGGGAACAAAAACAGACCATATGACTGTGCTCAAACATACTCAAATTCCAAATGTAGAATACTCAAAACAAACTACTTGCAAACAAGCTAAAGGCAAGTAATTATTAATGGAAATTGTTTGTTGAATAGTTTCAAATGACAAACAAATTCAGAGAAATTGTAAACTCCTCACAGATGATTTTGCAAACAGAAAAGAAGCTAAATTCACAGAATAAGTTATTTTTAGGCATTATTTTCCCAACTGTGGAACTCAGTCTCCCAAAGCTATGTTCAAGTAGTAACATCAGTGTTTTGGATGAAATATACAACCACAGCCCTTATGGTCATTAAAGACCCCTGGCTCTTTTATGTGTAGTTTGGGAACACTTTTCTGTAGTTTCTTTAAATGAGAATTTTATTATTAAACACCTTTCTGCCTCTCTTCCTTTGCCCTTTAGTTCAAAATTGGATCATTCAGTTTGGGAAATGGAAAGTGAACAGTGAATTTTTTTTGTCACTTATAGGGGATTTTAGAAAGATGTATTTGATTTTGTTTTACAAATGAATAACTCTTGATTATTTTTTTTAAAAATAGCACATTGTGAATATATCTCAGATGGAGTTTGATTGGCTGGACCACAGGGTATCTAAAGATGGGTCAGAAGCATGTGCGGTATTCATGAAGGATGTCATAGCAGGGACTTCATCAGATTTGCTTTTGGCCTTTATAAAATATGAATGTTTGCCATGTGTTTTCTGTAGGGCCTAAAGTAAAGATAACATAGATCCCCTTCTATCCCTCTTTAATGCCCTTCAGATATTGATGTCAGAGCCTGGAAAGCTGTTACAGAAGGTAAAAGTGTGGCTCCAAGAGTACTGGAATGTTACAGACCTCATAGCCATTCTCCTGTTCTCCGTCGGAATGATACTTCGTCTGCAGGATCAGCCATTCAGGAGTGATGGGCGAGTCATATACTGTGTTAACATAATTTACTGGTATATACGTTTGTTAGACATCTTCGGCGTGAACAAGTATTTGGGACCATACGTTATGATGATTGGGAAAATGGTAAGAGAAGTTTCCTCATTCTTTCCATACTTTCTTAGCATTTGCTTGATTTTATTTGTTTGGGTTGGCAGAATTAAATCACTACAAATCACTAGTATTTTCCTGTAATCCTAGCAATCAGTGCCTTTATCTAATGTCAGCATCATGGCAAACCCACATCCTTCAGATTGGCCTCCTATATAAGAGATAAGCATCAAGCTCTTCTCCAGGCTTCTACAGATTTTTATATGGGAGTCTTATATTTTGCTTGGCAACCTCAGAAACACCTTTTCAACAGCAAAGTTCTCACACTAGTTTCTGTGCCTCGGTTTACCCATGTATAAAGTGAGGGATAATAATTCTCACCTACCTTGAAGACATGCTTTGAGGTCTATTCAATTAACTAATATTTTTTGGAAATGCTTTCAGATCCTTACAAGAAGGATGCTATAATAAGGGTGGTGTGTTCATATATTGTTAATATTTATTATAATAGTGGTCTTGCTATAGCTTGCTGCCCCATAGCTTCATTTCCTTTTGTCTCCCATCCCATGGGCATCCTGCTGACTAAAGGCCTCCTTAGTTCTTGCCCAATTGCACCTCTGCCATACTTCCTCTCACTTTCTTCTACGAGGATCACTTCCTATCTTCCCCATCTTAGGCCTCACATTTGTGTTGCCTTGATTTTCTTCTGTTCCTTCCCAGTGATGTCCCCAGTTGCTGCTGAAGAGCTTTGTCAGGGTCATGTCACGTTTTATCTCTGGGGAAGCACCAAAAGGAACCCTCTCTGTGAGAGCTGAAAATCCATTCATGTGACCACAGCAGTAGGGTTGCCAACTTTCTGACCGAACAAAACCGAACACCCTTGCCCCGCCCCTTCTGCAAAACCCGACCCCACTCCCTCCCTCCATCACTCGCTCACTCCCACCCTCACTTGCTCATTTTCACCGGGCTGGGAGGGTCCCTTTTTGACCAGGTGTTTGGTTGAAAACTGGACACCTGGCAACCCGAGCATCTGTAATTCAGTCACATTGCATGTACATATTAATGTTAACAAGTTATATCTAATACAACACATAGTCAAGTGTACTGAGTTAGAAATGCTGTGAGATCCACAGCTTTGAATTTCCTCCTTTTTGTTGGTTTAAAGTTTCAGCTGTAACATTGCATTAATGTTGGATTTTTTGCATCTAAAGCCAGATTCTCAAAAGATAGAAGAAGGTCAAGTCCACATACTAAAAGGCACCTTCAGTAGGTGTCCAAGTAAAATAACTGCACGTAAATGCCCATTCGTACTGTATGAGTATGTATGTGACTAACTAGCCTCTTAAGTGCACATATATCTGATTTACATGCTCATGTTTTGTGTAGACCTCTGGTTTCCATTTTTCAAAATTAGGCCCCATTATGTGTTTCAAATGTTTAGACTATATGTTTAAAAATCAATATTAAAATATCACTTACACATAGCAGAGATGGGTCAATTGAATATTAAATTTACCAAATAACACAAATATTAATATTGCCTGATTAATATGAGGGCAATACTCAGTAAACCTAATAACATCCACATTATGGTTCAGAAGTAGTCTTTTGCCTATTGAATCTGCCATGGAGAACACTTTATACTTTCAGCAGCAGACCCAGTCTGTAAACTACAGTATAACGTCCATCTCTCCTTGTACCGACGGGGACAATACCTGCCCTCTCCTCTGTGCAGCTAAGAGCGAGACTCACTCCTGGGCCTTAGATTAGGGGAAGCATGTAGAACCCTGTACTTCAAGGCAATGAGTGCCAGAGACCCCTAGACTTAGGATACACCAGTGCAAAATACTGGCGCTCTTCCTCCCAGAGTCACCAAAATAACCAATTCACCCTCTCTTTAGTGTGTTAGCTTGTTAGGGTCTGAACTGATAGCAAAGAATCAAAGGGAAAGGCCCATTTTAAGGAAAAAAGAGAGACCATAACAGAAACTGTTGAAAAGTAGTTTTTCCTGCAGAAAGTCCTTAGAGAGTCTATGGAATCCTTCAAGGGAGCCAAGGGAACCATGATTACAGGACAGTGAATGGAGAGACCTCCCAGAACTGCAAAGTCGAAATAGAAAACGCTCAAGATATCAGCAACTGCTGCTGCAGATTACTGAAAGGAGAAAACAGGCTTCCAGACAGAGAGGAGAGAGGAAAAGATCAGACAGAAACCATTGCAATAGCTCCTGCCCACCTCAGTCTAGTTTGTCCCAGACTGTAATCCCTCCTTGTGATGATGTATACTGGCATTGCAGCTCAAACTGCCTGTCTCATATGAAACTACAAAAGAATGTCAAAACAGCCATGTATTCCTCTGTTTGTCACTGGTACCATACACAGCCACATTTTTTACCCATCTGCTGAGCAAAGGCAGCTTGAAGACCAATTTGCTACTGGACAAATTGCCAGACCCCTACTAGCTGAGGCAGTAGCAGTCAGCATTATGATGAATTGACATTAAGGTCACTGAGTCCAATTCAGCAGTGACATGAATGGTGACGTATGTTGCACCTTGGGGGTAGCAGGGCCTGCAAATGGGTGTATGTAGCAAAATAATGTAATTTGCACCTCTGTGATATCCCTGCATGTGCACAAGGAGTGTAACCTCCCACTGCTTTGGTATTCTGTGAGGCCAAATTCATCCCTGCCATAAATGGATTCGACACCCATTGCAGGCATTGGGAGTTGTGCCCACTTAGCCCTTGGAGCACTGGGGAAGGCATTAAGTTACAGTCGGGGGACTGGTTTATCTTATGCCCTTCTGCTATTTGATTTTTATACTTTATCCCTGTTTCCATGCACTCAGCATTTTTGACCATTTTGCCCATACAATGAACGCCCAATTGGTGTGAGTTGCACAAATTTGCCACTTTCACCCATTTTCTGGCCACCTTATACCCAGTGTGTAACTGACAGCCCCATTTATATCACGCATATACTTACGTGCAGTTGCTTGCTCCAGGCTGTATTTGGTTCACTGACTACATTTTTATTTAAATCACATTTCGTTTTCGTTCTCTAGGTTCTATCTAATCTCCTCTTTCATTTCATGTGCTTGGGAAGTACAGCAAAGCATGTGAAGGATCTACGTGATTAAACATGTCTCTACCAAGCAAGCCTAATCACAGCTACTGTATTTTCCAAAAGGCCTATACGTCGTATAAGCTGTACCATCATCCTATTTATATTTATGTGGAATTTTAAATCATAAGCAAGGTTTTAGACTCTTCAGACAAGGGGCAAGTCTTTGACCTTACTCCCTCAAGTATTTCATTAATTTCAATGCATCAGAGTAAGGCACCGATCGCCACTGGGGCCTTTAGGTGCTGCCATAGGATAAATGGTGATGTGTTGCCACTAGATTCATTAAAAACAGTGCATAAATCTGTGCATGCTGAAATTAAATCAGGAATGGAAGGGGGCACTAGAGGTATTAAAACAAAGAGGATGGTGCCTTTGAAATGTCTGGATTTGCCATTACCTTCTTATTTCAGTGACTGAATGCGCACATTAAAATCTAGCTCTTTGATTTTTATATTATGATATAATTATGTACTTTTCATTTGCAGGTAGGATGAAATGTCTCTGACATGGTGTCATGAGATTAAGAAGTGTATCAGACACTTTTCCATACACACACTAACATCCAAACTGTATTTCATTTGTCAGCAAGTTAGAAATTGCTGTGGGGCTAAACTTTTATATATTTATAAATCTATTAAATAAATATATTGATACAGGAACAATTCATGTTTTGTCAGCTAACTAAGCTTTTTCAGCTAGACAATTAAACAGTTACTATGAGTGAACAATCAAGTTAAACTAGCAATTGTAATTTGGCACATCAGACAAACACACCCTAATCCAATCCCCAGTAAAAGAAAGACTCCTATCAACTTCTTTGAGTTTTAGATCACGCAGATTGAGAGGGCTGAGCCTACAGATGAGATATCATCTTGCTTGTGGATGAGACAAAAACAATTGAACTCTTATTTCTAGCAACAAGAGCCCCAAACATCATGATTGCTGGTAAACAATATATCAGAAGGTTAAAAGGTTCTCTTATGGTAACATCAAAGATAATTGTCAACGTTATTTGGTTACTTCCCTGACATTTTGGTACATCTGCCTGAAATCAGTGCTTGAGTTGGAGGGGACAAGGGATAGCATGCTCCAGCTTGGTCTCCATGTGTTTTCTCTCTGCAGCAGTTTCCCCATATTTTTCATACCACAATATGTTGTTAGTTAATTTATTATATTTATTTATTTTTTCAGTTTACATAGCACCTATGATAGATAGTCTAGGCATTCGCAAGGGTTACTCTTCCTTTAATATCCTTTCTTGGGGTTCTCATCCCTACTGCCAGTGCAACATCTGTCCCCAACCTCATGCCTAAGATCCTATCCAGTACCTCCTGGGCCTGATGTGTGGGTTTTGGGGCACTGAGGATATCCCTTTTTCCTAAGCATTTCCCTGAATGTGCAGATATTATAATCATGTAGTAATGAGCGATTTGCGTATGCTAATGAGACACTGCAGAGGGGAGATGTATAGGGCTGAGCCCCCTAGGATATTTGCCTGTTATCTTTTGAAAATTCACCCTCCCCTGAGTCCTCTGACCTCGGCTGGTCACCTCCAAACATGCTGGTCTCTAGTCCTTCCAGTGTCACAGACTTCCTATCTCATTGGTCACCACTGTGCCTGTCCATTATGTTGCAATGAGCTGTTCTGCCGCTCACTACTCCTGTGTGACCAAGAGAGGTTGAATCCTTACGGTAGCTGCAGCCTCACTTCCTTTCCCCTGGGACAATGCCTGCTGCTAGCTAAATAGATGACTGTGCCCATGGCTGCCCCTCGTTTTTGTAGATGCCACCTGTAGCATAAGAGTGGTGCTTCATCTTGCAAGTGTGGCCCAAACTGGGCTGAGCAGACATCAGTGAACTTGTAGTAGTTGCAGGCAGCCCATGTAGCCAGACAGTAGCTTGTAATTTCAAACCTGCAAACACACTCATAACAAGCTTTGAAAATCCCACTGAAAATGAACTCGGCCAAACCAAGCACGCAACGTCCCCACTCACCACCTTTGAAAACTCCAGCCCATATGTGCAAAATTGCATCCTTAAACTTTACAGTTTTTTCATTATATCAAGGTTGAAACATAATACCCAAATAATTTTCTCTAATTTGTTTCCTTTATCTCTGTTTCTTCCTCCTGCGCCCTTTAGATGATAGACATGATGTATTTTGTCATCATTATGTTGGTGGTTCTGATGAGCTTTGGCGTTGCAAGGCAGGCAATTCTTTTCCCCAATGAAGAGCCTTCATGGAAGCTGGCAAAGAACATTTTTTACATGCCCTATTGGATGATCTATGGGGAAGTGTTTGCAGACCAGATAGACCGTAAGCGTGTTTATGATTCTCATACTCCAAAGTCAGGTATCCAGTTTTGATCAGATGATGTCTTACAAGATCATTTGTATGTTCTCAATAAATGGCTTGAGACAGGGGACTCGTTCATTGAAGAAGATATTCACAGACAAGCTATTACTAGTAGCTGCTAATACCAATTTCGGGGTACCAATTTCTGTACTGCTAAATTTTATCTTTTATTTAATTATATATATATATATATATATATACACACACACACACAACTTTTATAAGTGATTGATTCTTTTTAAATGCTTAAGGGTGTTGGGGTGAAGAAAATCTAGGTATCCATGAAGAGTTCATTGGTATATGTAGGACACAGCACTCCACTCCTTTTCCATCCATTGGTTTGATTTTGGAATGAATGCACCAGTTTTGCTCAACTTGGTATTGAGGATCCAGTCTGAAAATACTGAGAGAGCTCTTCAGCTGGTAAAAGTCAGCATAGCTGTACTGAACTGAATGGAGTTACACTGACTTACACTAGCTGAGGATTTGATCCATTGAGTTTTGCTTTCAATGGGACCTGTTCACCGCTATCACCCTTACGTTAAATCATGTGATGTGACCATTTGTGGATGGTGGATATATTACTAAAATTTTATTTATTGAGAGGTGAGTATGTTCTCAGTTCAGTGCAAATAGAATGGAAGCCACCATTTCTGATACTTTCTCCTAAGGATTTTTTTGGCTGGCAATCTGGAAAATGCCAGTTTTCTATTTAAATTAAACCTCCTGGTGCCACCAGGCGTAGTATGGCAAAGGAGATAAGTGATCATGTGAAATGATGCAGTGTGAGGAATGGAAAAAGCTAAGAACCATCTTTTTAACAAACACTGACATGCTAGAGACGCTCAACCCCTTCTTTTCTGCTTAAATGTGCATAGGTCTTGGAAGCACTTACAAATTAATACAGTATGTCTACTAATAGTAGAGAGAGCCTATTGAATCTATATAAATATATCAATTTAAATACTAGGTACAGCCTTAAGCAAGGAGTGTGCTTCCATGATATATCTTGTGCTCATTCAACATTGAAGAATTTACAATGGTGTTTTGACTTTCCCTAGATTGTTTAGATCCGGAAATAATAAACATATCTGCATCACCATTCATCCCCTTTAATGCCCTTTAGATGTAGACTGTGTGCTCCATGAAAGATGACTCAGAGAGCCCTATTTACATTCCTTCTCCATCATGTCCATGGAACTCTATGCCAAATGTAAATAGTCTCCTTTTATGACTACCCCTCCATTATGTTCTCAAAGGCAACATGGCATTCAAGCAAATAAATAGCCTGAAACCCAGAGAATTTCTCCCTGTATTTACCTTTCCACTTGGTTCCATCTTTTTTTTCCTCCAGAAATCCATTTTAGTTCCAACGGTATAATAATTGGGGGCTGATATTATCCCTTTAAACTGTGGCTCACCTTTACAAATGGAATTCTATCTGTCCCACTACAAGTGGCCATTTATTGATGTTGTACTAAGAAACTAGAATAGTGCAACAAGTGCGGCAATCTGGCTGGATAAAAGGATTTTTTTTTAATGAAGTGCTGATTGTAGTTTAGAACCTGCAATCGGAGAGAGATTATTTTAACATGAGTGGAGTATGGCTGTTGGGTATCTGTAACAGGCTGGCAGACTCTTTGTCCTTGCATAGGGATCCAGGGCTAATCTAATGAATCATCCTGATGTCCAGTTCTTAAACCTTGCATAAAAGTGCAGGGTAATTACTGAGTCATGAAGGCAGGTGCATTATCTTAATTCCAACCAGGTATAAAAGGAGTTGTTTTGTCCCTCTGCTGAGGAAATTAGGGGTTTTGACAGATGAGGTCCTTCTTAGAAACTCTAAGAGCAGCCCCTACTTCTTTCTCTGAGAGAGAGACTGAGACTGTGCAGGGTATTAGAGTCTGCCACACTCTTTCAGTGTTTTTCAGTACATCACAAAATATATACATGGAATAGAGTGAAGAATGCACTGATTAACTGACACACAACTGTGGTTTTTTTTTTTTATACTGTTCTTTTTTCACTGTTTGGAAATTTACTGCTATATATTCTCCACACTGTTCTAAGCTAAATCAGCCACTGTATTCTATTTAGAGTGACTGTACTTTCTCAAATGTGATTCGAAGCTTGTCCTAAAAGCTGTTGTGCCACCTCTAAAATGTAATCAGATTTCACAACCTGTGGTTTTACTTTCCTCTTCATATTACATTGAAAGGCTTGCTCAGATTATTTTTATATTTTTTTAATATTTGTATTTTGGCCATGAATTCCAGATTCTGCCAGAGTGCTGATCTCTGACATGTTACACAATGGAGCTGCATTCTCAAGATTACTCGTGTCTATTTGAGAAATGTACAAAAAGTGTATGTTACTCTAAAAAAAAATGTTTTCTTTTATCTCTTTCTGTGGATTTGTGAAGCATGTTGTAAGGCTGGCCAGATCCACCTCATCAACTGGCAGCCTGTCCATCCAGTAGATCTCTTATTTTTAATTTTATCTCAAAATACTACACTCTTAAAACACTAAGTAGTCATATTTTTCCAATTTACTGCATGGACTGTATGTGTTTATATATATCAATAAATGCCTGCATTCATTTCATGTGAAAAAAAATTCTCTGAGTTGAAATGTTTATAGATGCTCAACAATGCACTGTGGACACTGAATCTCACTAGGTACTCAAAAGTGGGGACAGTTATATCCTCACTTCTGGGAGTTAATATATAACCCAGTGGTAATCGCTATTACATATGCAGTATATAAATACTACACTCATATCGATTATTGGCTAGCAATCAATCATAAATAGGGGCCCTACTAAATTTACAGTCCATTTTGGTCAATTTCATGGTCATAGAAGTTTTTAAATAATAAATTTCATAATTTCCGCTATTTAAATCTGAAATTTCATGGTATTGTAATTGTAGGAGTCCTGACCCAAAAAGAAGTTAGGGGGTGGGGTTGCAACATTATTGTAAGGGGCGTGGCGGTGCTGCTACCCTTACTTCTCTGCTGCTGCTGGCGGCGGCGCTGCCTTCAGAGCTGAGCAGCTAGAGAGCAGCAGCTGGTGGCCGGGAGCCCAGCTCTGAAGGCAGAGCCACTGCCAGCAGCAGCAGAGAAGTAAGGGTGGCCTGGTATGGTATTGCTACCCTTATTTCTGCGCTGCTGCTGGCAGGGCACCACCTTCTGAGCTGGGTGCCGGCCCAACAGCTGCTGCTCTCCAGCTACCCAGTTCTGAAGGCAGTGTAGCAGTAAGGGTGGCAAAACTGCGATCCCCCACCCCCAACAATAGCCTTGTGACCCCTCCCGCAACTTCCTTTTGGGTCAGGAGCCCCAGTCTGAGAAACTCTGGTCTCCCCCATGAAATCTGTATAATCTAGGGTAAAAGCACATAAAAGACCGGATTTCATGGTCAGTGACGCATTTTTCATGGCCGTGAATTTGGTAGGGCCCTAATCATAAAGGAAAAGAAATAGAGCAAAACTTCTAAGATTATGTTTAAAACATATTCAAATTTTAAAACAAGTTAAATAAAAAGATAAAATTGAAACTAAAAAGCAGTTTCTCTCAGATAGACACAATCTTGTTTATTGCAGAAGGACAGGCTGGATGAGACAGGGAATTGGTAATAGAATTTCACTTTTAGGTTGCCATTTCTAATCCAGCTCAGACTGGCATTGATTGATAGTGACTCCCAATCAACTGCTGATTAGTCAGTGCATTTCAGTGCATTTCAAGTGTCCTCATCATAAAATCTACCACGGCAATTTGCACTAATTGGTACCCTTATTGGAAATCTGAGCAGAGAACCCACAGACTGAATTGCCACAAAGAATGAATCGTCTTCTCACCCCTAGAACCCATCCCTCCAGAAAAAAACAAGTTGGGGGGGGGTGTAGAGACAACATCAAAGGAAAGCTTGTGATGCTGTTGTCTATAGTGTGCCTGTTCTATAAACAAAGGGTGAGTTTGGTAGGTACTCTTATATGTGGTCAGATAGTAACTGTAAAATGACATCTTGATGGACAGCAGTCACCATTAAAATCCAACACAACATTCTTCCTGGACTTAGAATATGGAATCACTGTGATTGCTGTTGACAGATATTGACTTGTTAATGGCAACCCCTGTATGTTGGCTCATTCTCTTCTATGTAAAATTTGCTTAGTGTATAGATCAAAACAAGATTTTCTTTCCAACTGACAGCATTTCAAAAGCAAGCTGAGAACTAAAAATCAATCTGGATTCTTTCTGCTCCCTACATCCCTTTATGGAAAAATCCCATAGAATTGTAATAGACAGTGATGGAACCTGATTCTCCTCTCATTAACACTTGAGTAATGCCAGTAATTAGAGTGGGGTTACTTCAGTGTATGGTCAGTATATGCACGAGGAGAGTCATACCTAACAAGTCTTTACAGGATTTTGAATCACCTTAGAGAATGTAACAAAAAATTATATCCTTTATATAGAATTCTCTAGTGGAGAGGGAGAATTCTGATCTCAAATCCCCAACCAGGGGTTAAAGGAAGTCTGGTATTGGGCATTGGTATTGGATGGTGGTCTGCCACGGCTATGCCAACAAGGTGGGAAGAGAGTGAGCAAGGACTTAGTCTAATTGGGGAAAGGCATTCTCACTGTTCAGGAATGCCAGCTGCTACACTATTGTTCTTATTGGAGCAAGATGACTAGAAGAATATAGATATTTGGAGGAAATGTTTTAGCACAACCCAGGACAAAAAGTAAAATACAAGAACATGGTTTACTTGGTCCTGCCGTATCTCAGGGTGCTGGACAATGTCCCTTCCAGCCCTACATTTCTATGATTCCGTATCAGAACAATACTATCTATTAATGCTAAAACAATCATTTAAAATAATGAGGTATTGTTGCAGTTCCCTGACAGGTTTTTTTCCCTAGTGACTAAAGCAAAGATGTGATAATCAGGACTCACAGAT